CCCCAGTTATTGTATGCATAAAGAAATCTTTGAAAAAAATACTCCCTTCTCTGTAAGATTATTATGGAGATTAACAGTACAATTCATTCACTCAGTCATGATTTGTTAGTCTATTTATATATTTATAATTGCTCTATCAAGAAAGTGCTTACCCAGGGCCTCCCTGGTGGCACAACCAGTTAAGACGCAACCTATGAAGCTGTCAGTAGCCTCTGCAGCATTAGTTCGATACCCAGCTGGCCAGGGAGCAACCCACATGGCACAGCAGACCTCTCCTGACTCGCCTGCTGCTCCCCTCAGCCGTGTACTTCTGTCAATCTGCCTGTTCTGTTTCCCACTCTGTCTCTGGAGAATCCTCTCACCCCCCATACCTCTGGCCTGTACCCCAGCTCTTGTATGCATAAATAAATAAATCTTTAAAAAAAAAAGTGTGTACCAATTTCTAAACTCTTTTTTCCCAAGGAACAATGATGTACAATAACTAGTTAAGTTTCTTGTCTAGTAAACACTCACCCCTCAATAGCTTTCTCTATAAATCAACACCTTATATTCACTAACAGTAAATCCAGTTTCACAAATGGTCAAAAAGGAGACCAGAAATATTTGGGATAGAAGATAAATCACATTTGGCACTAACTCCATTTTTCCCTAACAGGTCATTCCTAACTTCAAAGCAGCCAACACTTAAAGATTCCAAACAATTATCATAAAATCCAAAATCCAGGAATTCAAGCTGCAAACAACATGAATCTCTGAAACCATAAATTCCAAGGGCAACTATCATTCCTCAGAGGCAAAAAATCACTGCACACACATGTAAATACCCCACAAGAACCTTCATGAAACAAACCTTATGCAGTGAAACTGGCATGTCTGAAGACAGTTTACAAGCAGATTACACTCAAATTACACTCAAAGTTGGTACACAATGCTCTCTACACTTGCTTTCTGCAAGTGTGAAATGTCCAGTCACTGAAAACTATACCCATTACCAGTCTGGTCACAGGTGAGAATGCGCATGACTCCTCCCAGGAGTCCCCTAGAGAACATTTGCTGTTGAGGCACTTCCCAGAGACAAGATGCTCTGAGAGCAGATGCTTCTCACTATCCTCTGAACACCACATGCATTCCACCTGAGAAAGATAGTGACAACTTGAGGAAGAGCCTCCATTTATCCAGTCTGCCTCTTCCCAAGACTCAGGAATGCCTTCCACTTTGAACATGGAATTCTCGGCAGCCAGATCATGCATTTGACCCTTCACATGAAGTTTCTTGAATTGTACTCACCTATTCCGATCTTGGTCCTTGCTCCCCAGACACACTGTAAGCCCTTCAAAGCAGGGACTGTATTCATACCAGTGTTTCCCGATACAAACACCTGGGAATCTTGATAAGTAGCAGATTTACCAGGTTTGGGCTGAGGCCCAAGATTTTTATTTTTTAACAAGCTCCCAGTGATGCCAGTGCTTCTGGTCCCAGGTCCACATTCTGAATAGCAAGGACTTACATGAAGTTGAAATTCCCAGTAACTGGCACTGGACTTACCCACAATAGGCACTGAATAAACATTGATTTATTTGTTCAATGAAAGGGTTCAATTGTTGGTTCCTTGAAAATAAAAGACAGATGTACCAAGTCAAACTCAGGGCTTGTTACCCAAATAAAGAAGCTGTCCTGTCAGATCAAATGTGGTGATATTTGAATTACAGTAAGCATTTTATGGTTATGTACAGATGCCACCATGAATAATTCAATTAGTTATAGAAATATTTAACTTAGTGAACCTTTCAAGGCAGAATACAGTGATACCTCAGGAATACCGTATCCCCTGCCTGACAGCATTTTATTTTATTTTATTTTTTTAAAGATTTATTTATCCATGCATACAAGAACTGTGGTAGAGGCCAGATGCATGGCAGGGTGAGAGGATTCACCAGCGACAGAGCGGGGAACAGAACAGGCAGACTGACCGAAATACACTGCTGAGGGGAGCAGCGAGCGAGACAGGAGAGGTCTGTCTCACCATGTGGGATAATCGCTGGCTGGCCGGGATCAAACCCACGCTGCAGAGGCTGCGGACAGCTTTACAGTGCTGTGCTCATTTGCCTGCACCACCAGGGGAGGCCCCTGACAGCATTTTAATCTTATAAGACAAGTTACAAGAAGCTAATGGTAGCTAGATTCATGCTTCAAATATTAGACAGGGTTATATAAATATATGTTTGAAAAAGCCTCAAAGAGAACAAGCTAGTAAAACATCTCTTCATTTTGGGAATAACTGGTTTGCACTCTGACACAAGCCAGTACTGTATTTCATATATGAGAAGCATGGCAATAATCAGACATGCTGTTTAACAGATGCTATTCATCTGGTTTACTGTATGAGTCTTCACACTTTCATACTATGTTTTTGAGGTTCTGGGTCTGGCTAATGGAGTAAGTATACTCCACCCTATGAGAATGGCACAGCCACTCTAAAAAATAGTGTGGCCATTTCTTATAAAGTTATGCATACGTTTATTTATACATGACCCAGTAATTTCATTCCTAGGTGTTTGTAACAGAGAAAAGAAAACTTATGCTTACATATGTACTTGTACATGAATGTTTATAGCAGTTTTATTTATAACAATAAAACCCAGAAACAACTCTAATGTCCTTCAACAGGTGGCTAGACAAATAAATGTGATATACCCATACATGGGAATGCTCACAGCAATAAGAAGAGAGAATTATTGATAGACAAAATAAATACTGATGAACCTGAAAGGCATCTTGCTGAGTGAAGGAAGCTAATGTCAAAAGGTTACCTACTAAATTATGGCATTTATATGACACTCTCAAAAGGCAAAATAATACAGATGGAGAACATTGATTGTCAGGGGAGGAGTGGGTTTGACTACAAAGAGGCAGCATGAAGGAATTTTGTGGGTGATGCAACTGTTGTGTATTTTGATTGTGAGAGTGGTTATATGAATCTATACATATACTAAAATTCATAGAACCATATGCCAAAAAGAAAGTTAATTGTACCATATGTTAATTTAAAATCTAAGTGAAGTAAAAAAAGTAACTGTACCAGAGTTTCAAAGTTAAAATAAGAATGCACACTTGGCAATCAAGAGTATTACCAATGTGTTCTTTCTGGGTAACTAATTTTGCAAAATAATCAGATAACAACTTTTAGCCTTAGACATATTCCTTAAGTCTCATAAACATATACAGCCTATTCCATTCCACAAAGCTGGAGTGCTTTTGGTGCCAAATTTTAAAAAGGGGTATTTATTCATTCTGATTCTGTAATATATCAATCTACTTGCCTCCACAACCAGAGCAATAAAATATATAGCGAGGAAGTGCCCACTGGTGAAACAAAAAAAACCTCTCATCATTATCAAGTCTATGTTATGTCTATGATTGCTGACAAAACCAACAAGACGAAATGGTTTGAACTGACTTCATTCATCATTTAAAGATTTACTGAGCACATGCTAAAGTCAGGCCCTGTGAGACATGAAGGTAAAGCAAACTGAGCTTTACACTCCAAAGAATCAGTCCAGAGAGAAAAGAGAATATTACTGTAGGAATCTTGGAACAGTTTAATTTTAAAAATCATGATCCAGGGACCTCCCTGGTGGCACTGGGGTAAGTATCAGCACTATTAAGCTATCAGCAGCCACTGTAACATGAGTTCTATCCCCAGCCAGGGAATTAACCCACATGGCACAGCAGACCTCTCCCGTCTTACCCACTGCTCCCCTCAGCAGTATGTTTCAGTAGATTCACCTGTTCTGGTCCCCACTCTGTCTCTGGTGAATCCTCTCACCCCCCACAACTTTGTCCTATACGCCAGTTCTTGTATGCATAAATAAATAAAATAAATCTTAAAAAAATAAGAATCATGATCCATTGAAATAATTAAAACAGAGAACTTCAGTCAAAGTCTGTCATATTTTACTGCAACTGGTAATGCTCAACATGATGTTGGGTTTTTCTAGCCCAGGTCATTTCTTTGTGCCATGGTAAAGTAGCAAATAAAGGTGAAAAAAGTAGATGGAAAAATCCTCATGGTGGATTTTGTTAAAGAGGCAAATAATCAGCATTATTTGTGGCTAACGCATAGACTTCAGACAAATCAGATTCAAACCCTGTCTTTACCCTTTCTTGGATGTAACCATTCCAGGTCTCAGGCTCCTTATCTATAAATTGGTTATTATAGGGCCTCCCCTGGTGGTGCAGCGGTTGAGAGCTGGGCTGCAAAGCTGCCCGCGGCCTCTGAAGTGCCAGTTCGATCCCCAGCAGCCAGCGAGGGTCCCAAATGGCATGCAGACCTCTCCTGCCGCACCCACTGCTCCCCTCAGCAGCTTATTTCATCAGTCTGCCTGTTCTGTTCCCCGCTCTGGCTCTGGTGAATTCTCTCACCCTCCCGCGCTTCTGACTGTACCCAGTGCTTGTATAAATAAATAAATAAATCTTCAAAAAAAATTTAAATAAATAAATAAATTGGTTATTATAGTGATACTTTCCTAGCATTACATAGAATATATAATATTATAATAACACTTTTCTCACACAGTTGTGGGTGGTGGGGAAGGGTAAGTCTAAGACAATACCTAGTGTATTGTAAATAAGTCACATATATCAGACTTCACAGGGCAAAGTCAAGAATTAATATCCCTGAGGCTAGGTGGCATCTATCTGCAATGCTGCATGTTACACTCTGGGAAACCACCTTATTCCTACAAATGCAAGCTACTCTGGGCCTCAGGTTAATATGGGAAAATCAGTGAAAACCTAAGTCCAACAGATAATGGATAAACAATTTAGTCACAAGTACAAAGAGCAGATAATATGTATATTCTCTAAAGAAATCCTACCAAAATGAATATTATTCATAAAAATATTTTATGTGTGTGTAAAGCAAAGATAACATAAATGAGATTTATCTCATATATTGGTTGTGCTCCAATCCCTTCTACTCCCAATGAAGAAGAGCTTACCTTATCAGCAATATCCACCCTGGCCTTGTGATTCAGCAAGGAATCCAGCGCAGACAAATGACTCACCCCCACTGCAAAAGAGGGCTGTGTGGTTCATCTGAGGAAACATAATTTGTGTTTTCAGTCACATCATTACTTTTCAACCTTTTAAAGATTCCTATTTCTTGAGTGGCCAGAATTTTTTTTAATCAGCATTTGTATCTGGTTTATTTATTTACTTTTTACAACTAGTGAGTATTGCCTATAATCTTACCTTCATCTATTAGCTGATAATAACACAGAAATTGGCAATTCACTAGAAGATATGCCTCAAGCTAGAATCCACCGCAGAACTTACCATGATTGTAACAATACAATTGACTTCCAATTAGTAAAAAATGTATTCCCCTCCCCCATACAATCATCAATAACAGCAAATTGTTTCTGCTTAGAATATACTGATAATACATAACAAAATTTTTCCTAGATATTCAATCCAGATATAATCTTTCTTGTGTAATTTTTGGACTGTAAATTTTTTTTCAAAGATTTATGCACACAAGAACTGGGGTATAGGCCAGAGGTGTGGGAGGTGAGAGGATTCACCAGAGACAGAGTGGGAAGCAGAACAGGCAGATGTACTGAAATACACTGCTGAGGAGAGCAACGTGTGAGAAAGGAGGGTCTGCTGTGCCATGTGGGTTGCTCCCTGGTTGGGGATCGAATTCGTGCTGGATGTTTTGCTCTTAAGTAAAAACATTTATATTTTTTCCCATATTCTAGATGCTAAAGCTCTCAAAGAAGGTACTTGGACATGGATTTACTATTCTTTGTCTCACATAAATAATTTATCATAAAGATAGAAGAACTGTTTTAATTAAACATCTGATTTCCTTAAAAATGTATCTAGGACCTCCCTGGTGGCACAAGGGGTTAAGACGCAACTTATAAAGCTATCCACAGCCACTGCAGCACAAGTTCGATCCCCAGCCAGGGAGCTACCCACATGGTGCAGCAGACCTCTCCTGACTCGCCCACTGCTCCCCTCAGCAGTGTATTTCAGTCAATCTGGCTGTTCTGTTCTCCATTTTGTCTCTGGTGAATCCTCTCACTCCCGACACCTCTGACCTATACCCCAGTTCTTGTATGAATAAATAAATCTTTAAAAAAAAAATGAATCTGGTGACAAGCTAAGTTTGACAAAACATGAGCTATCTTGATATTGCCTGCTACCTAGAGCTATGTTCTAGTATGTCAAATTTGGATTCCTAAAATCCCCTACTAACTTTATTTGTGGATAAAGATGCAAGTCAAAACAGTATCCAAAATAATTCAATAAAACCACTTGCACCTTTTTTTATCTCTATCATCAAAATTTTTAAGGAGTTCTACAAGTAACCATATCAACATTTGCTGTAAACAGAACTGAAAGAGGTGTTATAAGAGAGTATAATTCATTGTGAATTTATAATAACTTACCATGTCGAATGTAAATGCCCTAGATTCTATTAACTCTTCAAGTACTTTCATATGAAAACATGGCTTTAAATATAAGAAAGTTGTATGAGGAAAAAATCATAATGATTAAAAAAAAATACACTGGGAAATCTATTTCTTGCCATTTGGAAAAATGATTATTGCTTTACTTATTCTGAATAAATCTAGATACTATATTCAACAATCCTTGCTTATATCTTTTCTTCCCCTTCCTTCTTCTTTGTTTCATTTCTTTTCTTTTGACTCTTAATTATTATACTGCAAATTTTGCTGTTTTCTGACGCAGGCCATGCTACTCACGCTGTCTGACAAAGGTCCAGGCATGGGGAAGATTTCTGAAAAGTCAGAAAACTCGATAGCTGGCTCCTGCTGCTTCCTTTCACTTGTTGGTGGCAGTTATTGAAACTATGGAAATTTTCTATAAGTTTTAGACTAACACAATGAATGTTGGCATTAGTGCCCGTAATGCACACTTCCATAGTTTGAGAAAAGCACCTTCTAACATGAAACAGCTCCCAACAACTCTCCGCGTCCTTCAATTTATAATTCTGTTACTATGAGTAACACTTGAGTTCTTTAGCAAGCCACGCTTGATAGAGCTCTTGGAATCGAGCCTGGCAAAAGTCCCCCCATACAAGAAAGCCCCTGAGATGCCCCAGGAGGCAAAGAGGTCCGAGAAAAACACACCACATACTGTTCCCATGACACCGGGACCCCCTGGTTCTATATAGGAAATAGAAGGTCGCCCGCGATTTTACAATGCCAGCTTAGCCTTGTTTTAGTTACCCAGCTTGGCTGCTTGAATTACATTGTGTGTAGCACCTGTTTCTACTTTTCGAAAAACATACATCACCTAAGAAAACATGTAGCCATGTTAATGTAACCAAGCAACCAAGTTAATCATATACTGGGAAAATTAAGAAAGGGCTGGGCACTGATTGATAATCAAAAATAAGTTCTGAAACAATGTAAAAGTGAAATCACATGATTGCATGATGTAATGATCACATAAGGAATTTCTAATGTATAAATAAAGGCCCGCTGAGATTCTCAGCAGGAGATACTTGCACCCTATCAAGTGTCTGTGTCTCCTCATTTCCCCTCCCCTCATCCCTCCACTTCCCAGATGCCGTCTCATCCTTGCGGAAACCCGGCCCTGGTCGGAGCTGGACTCCAGCAGTTTTCTATTCTAGATGTCTATGGACCATGAATGCTATAGATACCCATAAATCCCCCTGAGCACATGCACACATACACACACATGCACAATGGCTAAACATTGTTTCATTGCATGTAATGCATGACTTCAGTTTCTGTGACCTCACTGCCTGGGACAGATCCTGTTCCTTGCATAAACTGAAGTTTATACACTTTAGGGAGACCTCTTTAAAGCCAGAATCCAAAAGCTTAATCGATTGCATTAAAATGTCTTACTTTTCCAGATTTTAAAAAATCATATAATTATGGGAACTTGTTGCTAGAACCCTCCATTGCCTTGCAAGTGACCTGTACAAGTAGGGGCCCTGAAGCTTAGGTTTTACTTAGCATTAAATCCACTTCTGCCATCTGCTCCTTTAACCACTCCACAAACTGTGCTAAGCAATTGGCATAACTCCCAACTTGTTCACTCTGATAAATCCTGACTTAAGGGGCTACCAGTAAATCCCCACAAAACCAAGCAGTAGGAAATCCACATTGGTGGAACAGACTTCTCTCCAAAACCCAGGCACTTGAAGAACAAGTAAATAAGAGCCAGGTTTCAGAAAAGCAAGCCCCTCCCAACATGTACATGAACTATATTTCAAAAGCAGTAAATGAAAACACACACTCATCTTTGGATTTCAAATTCGGAAAAACTCAACCACAAAGGAAATCACTGGAATGAAAACAACTGAAGTTGTATAGCAAAGGATGTTCTTTCCAGAATGTGTGAGGTCAAAGTGATCCAGGCTACAATCCAGGCCAACTTCAGGCCTATGACCTTGACAGTTGCCTTTATTGGCCACCCACAGACTTTGCACAGATGTGTCTACAGACCCCATGCACTTCCCTCTGATAAGATGAATGAAAACATGCAGGGCCTATTCCATGGACTCACCCCACCTTAAGCTTAAATATTCTGGATTTAACAACAAAGGATTTCACCCAGCACAATCACTTTTATTTTTATTATTTTAGTCGATCTCTGTAAACCCAAGCCACCCTTAGAGTAATTACTTGCTGCATTTGTGACTTCTACTCACATTGTTCACAGCATTAATGTTAACCTTCCTTCCAAACAGCTTCTCCATAAGATGCAAATTACTGCTTTTAGCAGCATTCTGGAAGCTTCTCTCATTTGGCAGTACTGAAAGCAAACATGCAAGCATAACTTAGGGAATGTAAGGGTAATGAGGAGAAAGAAAACCTCATGTGGCAAACCGTGTAACTCTAAAAATTTGAAACCTTAGCTTCAAGCCTTTCACATTCTGCTATTCTGGACATGGGAATTTTGCTTCAATATTTCATAAGGCTGTGGCATCGAGGTTCCACTTTCTCCTCACACATCAAGTGTCTTCACACCCTTAAAAATATTCCTGGACCCAAACAAAACATTATTCCCAAGGACCACCCTGAAGTCAGCAATGTAGCATCTGGCTCTAGCAGGTCGGAGGGTAGCCATGGGCTTCCCAAGGGAGGTTGTTTGTGAAATGTTTGCACAAGGTTAGACAGGGAGGAGTCCAAATGCTCCATGCAAGCTTATAGAGATAAATTATCGAGATAAAATTGTTGTCTGCTTAACCCTGTGCAGATGCCAGGCCTTCAGAAAAAAACCTTAAATGCAGCATAATATATAAAAATATACAAAGGAGTAAAGGGATTGCATATGTTTCATTCTCATTTATATGAAAGGAGATAAAAGTAGGCTCATAACTACTATAAACATTACATATCATACACATATACCTATTCACTTGGTAGGTTTTACTAACTAGCATAGAAAGGATTGTAGCCTGGATCACTTTGACCTCACACATTCTGGAAAGAGTTTATTGTCATGAAGGAGAGCAGGAGTCTGAGGGACAACGCCAACATCAGGGGATCAAGAACTGGGAATGTGTGAAATCAGTAAGAGACTCTCTCCAGAAATGAAAAAGCCCCTAAGAGAGGTTCTATAGATGTGTTGCCACGTAGTGTTTCTCATACCTGGCAAAGACTCTGGAATGCTGCTAAGTCCAGTCAAAGGCCAGGGAGTAGTATATTTATGGGAGATACACTCATTCATTCATTCATTCAATCACCTGAATCCCTTTCTTCCTTTGTACCCCTACTCTTCTTACCATCTAGGACTTCAGTAATCACATGGATGATTAATCTAATATCTTGATCTCTCAGTTCTGACTCCCTTTAACAATCTTTCCCTTCACTTGACTTCAGCCACCCAGCTTCATGGTCTTTCCCTGATTTGATCATCATCGAAAACTACACTGTCTCTGCCACCTTTAAGAACACCATTCTCAGACCACCACCTCATTCATTCAGCTAACCTGCCCCATTTTTCCATATAGAATTCTGCAACTTCTCAAGTCCTCCAATCCACTGCTCTCACCCTCTTGCCATATGATTCAGCCTTCATGGGGGTCCTTACTTCCTTCTTAACCATTTTAGATTCCATGATCTATCTTTGTAACCACTTCCATGCCACTCTCCTCTCTGCAATCTTCCTCCATCAGACTAGTTGATCAGAATCCTCATTCTGAAATTCTATCTACCTGTTCTCTGCTTCATTTCTGCACCTAACAGCTAAATAGTGCCAGAGAAAAACATACGCACATGATGTGGTAGACAATGCTGGTTTTTCTCTTGTCTGAACACATGAATAAATATACACCCCAATCTGGATGCATTAAGGTGAAGTCTATCCAGCAAGCGGAAAGCAGAAGGGATGGTGTGTCACTTCAGGGCTGAATCAGTAAAACACCTCTGTGTTACCCTCCAGGTCCTTCTTCCCGTGTCTTTTCAACCTGGACTAATAATAATAATACAGACTAATAAGAATTATGTGTATCTCATCCCAATTCTGTGTTAAACTCTGTGTAGGTTGGAATCAGTCATGGTGGAAATACTACACAAAGGAAATTAGAAAATTCTATGAATGAGGACTCTCCTTCCTGAAGAGATGATAGTTAAACATTTACCAACACATTACTTCCTATCGTCCAGTTGGTAAGTGACAGAGCTGAGATAAAGACCCACATAAATTACAAACACATTCATTTTCAGGCCAGCTAAATAACATTCAGACAAGGATTTTACTATATGTGCTTTTTGGGGGTAATGAATTAGATCAGTAAGTATTAAGTAATGGAATAAAATACAGATTGCAGAATTAAACCTTCACAAATATGGCCAACTGGTTTTTGACATAGGTTTGAAGGCTTTGACAATGGAGAAAGGACAATAGTTTCAACAAATGGTATTTGAAAATTGGACATCCAGATGAAAAACTATAAACCTTGATATAAATTTCATCTTATATAAAATTAACTCAAAATAGATCACAGATACAAATGTAAAACAAAACTATAAAACCTTTGGAGGAAAATGCAGGAGAAAAACTTCAGTTGGTATTAATCAAAGAATTCTTATACATAGCACATAAAAGCATGACTGTAAAAGGAAAAAAATGATGAACTGGACTTCATTAAAATATAAAAATTTTCGGGCCTCCCCTGATGGCGCAGCCGTTGAGCGCTGGGCTGCGAGGCTGCCTGCAGCCTCTGCAGCGCTGGTTCGTTCCCCAGCCGCCGTCGAGGGTCCCACAAAAAATAAATAAATAAATAAAATTAAAAATAAATAAAAATTTAAAAATTTTCTCTGTGAGAAGTACTACTAAGAATAAAAAGACAAGCTGCAGATTGGGGAAATATATTTGCAAATCACATATCTGACAAATGACTATATTCAGAATATATAATATACAGAATAGATATTTAGAACTCTCAACACTCAACAGTAAGAAAACAAACAATCCAATTTAGAAATAGGAAATAGACTTCACTGGAGCACAGAAGAAACAAAGAGGATACACAAATAGCAAAAAAGCACATGAAAAGATGTTCAACATCACTAGCCATTAGGGAAATGTAAATTAAAACTACAGAGAGAAACCCATACACACTTCTTAGAAAGACTAACATTAAAAAAAATACTGCCAATAACAAATTTGAACTTCTTTCTTAGGGTCTGCTTACTGCCTTGACCTCATTTAATCTCTCTTTCACTCTCTAATTCTCCAACTAGGTATGCTTTCAAATCTATCAGTTTCATCCCTGCCTTGCACTTGCATGAACTTCCCATGATTGGTTACTTCCAATCACCCAGGTATTTGTTTCAATGCACTGTCTGCCTTGACCACCACATCTCAAGTCTTCCTGGGTGTGCCCTGTCCATGTCTTGTCACTCTATTTCATGGCCTCCACAGCACTTACCACTACCTTAAACTATCTCACTCATTTATTTGCTTACTCCATCACAACCGGAGTGAGTCCCACCAGAAGAGGTGTTGTCATGCTCTCTTGGCATCACCACATCTAGAACACATCTAACGAATGGTAATCCCTTGAAAATATTTCTAGAATGAATGGCTAGATGAACTAATTGCATATTACAATCATGCATTGCTTTATGACAGGATACATTCTCAGAAATGTGTGGTAGGCAATTTCATAGTTTTGTATATATCACAGAGAGTATGTTATTCTGCAAACACTACTTCTCTGTTTTGTTCCCAATGCAATTCAGGAGGGCACCCTGGAGGAGAAGCTGCATCATCTATGACTTCTTATTTGCTCCTGTAGTTACACTGTAGTATGTGCTGTAACTGGGCCTGTGGTCACACAAATGGTCATTTATGCCATCCGTGTTGACCTCCGCCTAGGATATGTTACCCATGGCTGTATATTAAGGAACTGGGGCTGGTCTTTAGGAAATGAGGCCATCCCAGCCACTGGCTTGGATGGAGAGTCCTGTTAGCAGGCTATACCATTCTCAACCTTTGAAGACTCTTCAACATTGTGCCTCAGTTTATGTTATCTCCAAGGCATAAATGATCCATTCCATGCTTTTAAAAGGCTTAAGTACACTAAGATTTAAAGTCACATAATAAATAAATACATGAGTCAGGACAGAGGAGATAACAGCACATAAAACTCCTATTTGCAAAAAGATTTAATCACGTCTTTTAAAATACTGTTCTAATTTCAGAAAAACTAACTTTCCTTCCACCCACGGTGTAGGTTTAACCTGAAATAAAACATCCTGAGAAATGTGAACCAAAACTTGAGTGAGGGTGGAATTCAAAGGAGAACAGCCCGCAGCCAACAGCGGGCGCAGGGGCAAAGGAAGGGGACCCTGGCTGACTCCTCCTGCCAACTCCCCACAGGGTCGGGAGGCCCCTTCTGAACTAGTACCTTCCACCCGGCCTTCATCCACAGCCCACCTGGCGCCGCCCCCTGATTTTCCAGACCCACCCTTCTCACCCCTCATCACCTCCGCCCTCCTCAAGCCCGCACTCACGCAACTAGTGGCCCAGTCACCTCCTCCTCCTTCTCTCGAGGCCCCTCCCGCTTCAAGATCCGGAACAAGCCGCTCCAGGGCCGGCGCCGCGCCTCTGGGGCGGCCAGAAGTCCTTCCGCAGCCGCCGCCCGGAACACCGAGCCCCTGGGCCGCCGCCTGGCGACCCGCGGCTCACCCGGCGGGGCCCTTGGCCTCTTCCCGGTCTCCCGACACCCGCCGAGCGCCGGGCGGGCCTCAGACTCTGGCGCGGGGTGGGGGCGGGCGGTGGGTCCCGGGGAGGAGGGCCGGCCGCCCTCTCCCGCCTGGTGCCCTGGGCAGCTGGCTTTTCTCCAGCCTCGCTCTGACCGAGCGGGCAGGCCTGCGAGGGGCGCGCGGTGACGTGGTTTGATTTTACCTGAAATAAAGGTGCTAAAAATACTTCCGGCTCACACCTCAGCAATCCTTGTACAGTCTTGAGAAATATCGAGGTTGGATTTGAACCAACACTGTTAGAACTTCAATATTAAATCATTTCTAAATGAGTTTCCAGAATTTTCTTTGGACTAAAGCAAGACTCAATTTCTTGTTGCAAAAGTGTAAACCTTAACTATCCACTTTTTGCAGTAGTAATCTATTGGTCCCCATCTTGGCTGTTATTTCTTTCTTAGAGATTTGTAAAATAAAGAATTGATATAATGACCCATTGTACCTAACTAAAATTTAGTAATAATGTGGAAAAGTAGAATATTAAAAGATAGCCAGGATCTCTCCCCTGAATTCCTAGCAATTGCTTGATGAATAAATTACGAAACAAAATTAAACTGTGACACATCTCATACCTTTGGATGGTCTCAGAGGTCACGATGGAAATATTGCATGTTCTAGGAGTGAAAGAAAAATTGGGGTCCCTCATAGAACAGAACTAGAGCTGACCTCAGAACTGACTGATCGTGTGTGTATTATGTTGTACGTCTAGGTCTGAAAGAAGTTGAAATTAAAAAAACTTAAGAAACTGAGGTTAGAATGAAAGGGTTAATATTATTTGCCTCTGAATTATCTTCTGTTTCCCTGTGCTGCATGTAGACAACCAGAAATAAGCCACTCACAAATTACCTCGAGCTTGTCGGGGGAACAGTTCAGTAGTATGGCTCGCTTAATAAATAGAATCATGTTTCTAACACTCATTATTCTATTTGAGTTGTTTTGAACAACTGTTAATCCAGTTGTGTATTACAAAGCAAAAGTGATCAACTTTAATTATACAACAAAAGAACAGTTTTTGCTCCAGGGAAATAAATACCACTTCTCTGTGAAGTTCACTAAAATTCTATCAACACCAGGTACTGTTCAAACATCACTTACCTCTCAAAATGGTACATTAAAAAGGAAAAACTAGCGCCAAGCATCAGGAATGGTTCTCAAAATGGAATATTTCCTCAAAAGGCATTTTTGTCATCTTAGACTAACAGTCATATTTTGAAACTTCTTCCAAACACTTCCATGTCTTCCCCAAAAGACATACTAATAAACATTTATAAAACAAGCAATTATCCAATGAAGGGAAAGAAATACAATTCCCTCTTCCTAGAATGTCCATCTCTTACGGCCCTGCAGGCATCTAGCCACATACATCAACCCCACCCTGTCTTCCCAAAGAAAAAGTAAAATAGTAACAGGGCCTCCCTGGTGGCACAAGGGGTTAAGTCTCAGCACTAGGAAGCTATCTGTACCACCAGTTCAATCCCTGGCCAGGCAGCTAACCCACATGGTGCAGCAGACCTCTCCTATCTTGCCCGCTGCTCCTGTCAGCAGTGTATTTCAGTCAATCCTCCTGTTCTGTTCCCCATTCTGTCTCTGGTGAATCCTCTCAACCCCCCAGCCCCCCACAACTCTGGCCTATACTCCAGCTGTTGTATGCATAAATAAAAAATTTAAAAAAAGAAAAAGTAAAATAGTAACAGATGCCACTCTGTGGCCACATAGTATTTATTCATAGTCAACAAATGATTGTTAACATCTGCTGTTAGACCACATCATTCATACTTGCAATTCAGATATCAGGGAAAGAGAACCCAGACTCTCTAGCTCTCTACAATCTAGTTAGAGATAGCAAAGAATGTTTCAGCCTTCTTAGAAAAATACTACAGTTACTAGTTTTTCCAGAGGGCAGGGGACCTTTTCCAGAAGGTAGCCTTGGGATGAGTTGAAAGGTGAGTAGCAGGATCTGGTGAGAGAGGACAAAGCTGTATTCAAGCAGTATTTTCTGGGCAAAGGGTGCAACTGGACACAAAGAGGGGGAAACAGTTTGGTCTATTCAGGACACTACTAGCTATGCAGTGTGACTTGACTGGCCTTGAAAGCTAAGCCAGTGTTTGGTGTGCGTCATGAACAGTGATATGAAGGAATTAGCTTAGACCAGCTTGCAGGAGCCAATTGTTAAATTTTTAACGATTTTGTGAGCTGTTTGATACGTCTGCCACTTGAAATCTGTTCTGTATTTACACCACAGAAATCATACACTGAAAATCAGCTCCCCTCTTCTCTAATGATCCTTCAGAGTTGAGAGCTTCTGAAATCTTTTTGCAAAGCCCTGCTCTGCTGTAACATAAGAGTGACATTATGAAAACTCTGTTTACGGCTAATCTACAAAAATTGCATAAGATAATTTAGAAGAGGAAAAGCTGAGAAATCAGTTGGAAGGCCACTGTTTAGGCAAGTGATAAGGGCTTGACAAAAATGAATGATAAGAAATAGATGTTCTCGGGCCTCCCCGGTGGCGCAGCAGTTGAGCGCTGGGTTGCGAAGCTGCCCGCAGCCTCTGCGGCGCCGGTTCGATCCCCGGCTGCTCCCCGGCCACCGGAGGAGGGTCCCACATGGCGCGCAGACCTCTCCAGCCGCCCGCTGCTCCCCTCAGCAGTGTACTTCGGTCCTTCTGCCTGCTCTGCTCTCCGCTCTGGCTCTGGTGAATTCTCTCACCCTCCCGCGCTTCTGACTGTACCCAGTGCATGTATAAACAAAAACAAACAAATAAAGAAAGAAAGAAAGAAAGAAAGAAAAACATGCCTCTATATAAAAAAAAAAAAAAAGATGTTCTCAAGGGACCCTGTAAATTCAATAATAGATACAGAGTTTGGAGAGGTAGAGATGGAAATGAGGGGAAGGATGAGTTAAAAGGTAAATAATGACAAATAAAAGCCTTTGTAAAATGAGAACATAAAAAGTAATTCCTATTGTCTTTCATTTTCAACTTTTTAAAATAAATGTCTATATCCATTGCCTGTACTTTCTCACCAGAGTTCCTTCTATAATATGACATATTATTCATGAGAATACTGAAATTTATTTTTTAGTCTTGCAGGTTAGTACTTCTATGTGGTAATTGTTTACCTAGAGATCACAGTTCCTATACTAACTTTAAAATTAAAGCATTTCTGATGAGTAAATTGACTTTATAAATACTTTTTTAAAGCTGCTATTCCCATTATTACATAAGATTGAAGTATATGTACAAGTCCTATACTACAGGACCATGTAAAGACTGGTATTAAAAAAGAGATCTTTGAACTCCATTGAAGAGATGATTACATAGATGCAAACAATTATTAATCCTATTTATAAGAGGTCACTTGTGATATTATATGCTAATAATGATATATTCCAAATGGACAGGCCATTCTCCTAATCCAAAATTCCCTAAACATTTTACAAACATGAAATTCTCTGCGAAATATTTTATGAATGAGGCACGAAAGAGTTACTTCTGTGACCTTTATCTTTTTATACTTTATTTGAACACACTTGATGTTTATTTTGTAAATGTGGGGTAAAGGGTTAACTCAGCAGTCTCAGGTTACTCAAGCCCTGCACATTCCAAAGAAAGGCCAGCTTCAGGAGGACCAGCCCTTGACTGGCTCTGGGAAATAACCTTTGACCACTTGGAAGATCCTGCATGATAAGTGTTAGTTAATATGCTAAGTTCTTGTGCCACATGGCATTAGTTTGACAGAGATAGTTTATGTTATCAGCATGACTTATGTGAATGTCTGTTTTGTGAGCCTGAGACCCTGAGTCATGATCTCATTTAGATTTCTGTAGAGCTGGGGGATTGAGTAGCTAAGGTCAGTCACATGGCAGTGCATGCCTATATGACTAACCCTAGTAAAAACCCTGGACTGCAAGGACTGGGTGAGTCCCTGCTTGCAACACTCTGCATGTGCTATACTCGTCTCTTCTGGCTTTGCCCACTTGCCTTTTCCCTTTGCTGATTTTCAAATGTATCCTTTCATGCTAACAAAGAGGACTGTAACCACGAGTCTGTCAACTTTTCTGACTTCTGCAGGTCCTTTTATTAATTTATCTGGCCATAGGTTGGTCTTGAGGATTCCTGAAACAACAGAAATCAAATATTATTTTTTCTATGTAGATAATAATATTAACACATTTATTCGTCAATCCCTTCTTGTACTGCATTGTCTAAAATGTCCATGTTGATACCACCCTATTAACACATTACATTAATTACTATAACTTTGTAATAACTCTTCATACACAATGGGGCCTGCCTTTCTGCTTTCTTCTTGGGCCTTTCCAGCCATCTAAAATTTTGGATTTAAACTGCAAATTTAATGGTCCCAAGAAAAATTATAAAGTGTTTTGAATTTATAGAATAATTTGGAAAGGATAATTCTTTAAGATAGTCATTCTTCCTGTTCATGAATAGAATTTCTCTTTTCATTTATTTAAATGTACCTTTGTTGGGCCTCCCCGGTGGCGCAGCAGTTGAGCGCTGGGTTGCGAAGCTGCCCGCAGCCTCTGCGGCGCCGGTTCGATCCCCGGCTGCTCCCCGGCCACCGGAGGAGGGTCCCATATGGCGCGCAGACCTCTCCTGCCACCCGCTGCTCCCCTCAGCAGTGTACTTCGGTCCTTCTGCCTGCTCTGCTCCTCGCTCTGGCTCTGGTGAATTCTCTCACCCTCCCGCACTTCTGACTGTACCCAGTGCATGTATGAACAAAACAAACAAATAAATAAATAAACATGCCTCTATAAAAAAAATAAATAAATAAAAAATAAATGTACCTTTGTCTTATAGAAATATTTTATAGTCCCCAAGTTCTTGCACATTGATAAGATTCCTCCCTACCTTCCTTTAGGTAGTTTGTAGATTGTTGTCATGAAAGATGTTATATTTTCTAATTGGTTATAATTGATGTATAAGAATACTGATTTTGTATAATCTTCTAACCATAACCTTGAATTCTTAGATTTTTAAACATGTAGACAAACATACCATCTGACAATACTTTTATATTTCTTTGTTTCCAGTTTTGATTCATCTTACTTAGTTATTGAATTGGTTAGGATCTCCAGCAAAATAATATGGTATATTCTTTTTTAAGATTTATTTATTCATGCAAGAACTAGGGTACAAGCCAGAGGTACGGGGGGTGAGAGGATTCACCAGAGACAGAGTGGGGAGCAGAACAGGCAGACTGGCTGAAATACACTGCTGAGGGGAGCAGAGGGCCAGCCAGGAGAGATCTGCTACACTATGTGGGCCACCTCCCTGGTCGGGGATCGAACTCATGCTACAATCGCTGCAGATTGCTTCATAGTGCTGATGCTTGACTGTTTGTGCCACCAGGGTGGCCCCAATATGGGATAATCTTATGCTATTCCTATGGAACTTCTAAAATTTCACCATTATATGTGATAATTCATAAAAATTTTTTGACAGGAATTTTTTTATGGGTGAGGTAGAATTTATTAACAGAACTTTGTTTAATTTAAAGTAGCAATATGCTACCTTTAATATGTGTTACATTTAGTATGGGGAAGCTATATGACACTGTTCTGGCCAATGAGATTAAGTGGAAATTGATAACTAGGGCTTCCAGGAAAGCTACTTAAAAGTAGGAAAGACTTGTTATCCTTTCTGTTGGATCTTCCTACCTATAGGAACTCACATGTAAGGCTGGATGTGGAAAAGGGTAACTTAAGTTGATCATGTGAAGGCGAGAAAATGAGAATTTTTTAATATATCCTTTACCCCCACCCCAGCCAATAGTAACCAATGAAATTCATGTCTCATGAGAAAACTAAAACTGATTTTTCTTTTTAAAGACTGATTGGTAGAAAGAAATGTCCTTTTTTTCTGTGGAAGCTAGTACCCTGAAGAGATCGAGGAATATGTCTGGGTGAGAAGAGCAGTTTCTGCTATTTTTTTCTTCATTTTCCTTTCTAATGTGATACAGGTCAAACATGAATAAAAGTGTGTAAAATATACATGCAGTTTAAAGAATATCAGAAAAGCAAACATTCATGCAACCACCACTCCCAGACAAGAAATCGAACACTTGTCAGTGTCCCAGCAGCTCCATGTGCCATTCCCCAATCATATTCTTCCACCTGCACACTGAGAAAATCACTACATCAGCTTTTGGGACACTAATATACTTGTTCATCTTTATAATTTGATCTAATACGGACCTATCCTTAAAATGATAGTTTAAACTTTTGATTAAAATGGAGTCCTGTGGATGGCATCCTTCTATGACATGTTTCTTTTGCTCCACATTCTACCATTGCTGAAGATTTGGTTTAGTTCCAAGTTCCAATTTTTGGTTATTATAGCACTATGAGCATTGGTACACATGCTTCCAATGGAACATGTTCGGTATTTTTCCCATGGTATATCTGTAAGGGTTCAGGCAGGAAGATATTCTATATATTGAGATGCATTTTAAAAAGGAACCATTTACAAAAAGGTATGAGGTGTGGGGAAACCACAAAGGACAGTGCAGCACCCCAGGGCTAATAAGAGCAAGACTGCTGCCACCCCTAGATTGAAGGGATGAGAGGATGAAAGGGCTGTTAGAACCAAAGTGAGCAGAGAATGCAGTTTGAAGATGGGAATACCTTTAAGAAATTGTGACTTTTGGTCAAGGGACGTACACAACTTGTGATGATCCTACAAAAAGGAATGTGAAGGAATAATTACCCAAACTCATCTTTCCTCCCTCAAGTCTCCCGCAGTGCCCCCCTCATTGCTGTGGCACCTCACTGGACGTAAAGCAAGCTGCTACAGACCAAAGAGTGGATTGGGAACGTTAACAGAAGATAACCAGCAAAGGGGTATGTTTAGGACTACAGGTGTTGGGTTGTTGAGTGAGCACATCTCCAAACTTTCTAAAGAAGAACAGTTTTCCAAAGTGGTTGTTTTCAAGTGACAGTTCACTTTGCAATATCAGCAAAACTTTGTATCATTGGATGCTTTCATTTTGATTCTGGTAGGGATGTAAAGATACCTCTTCGTGTTCTTCCTTTTCATTTCCCTTTTATTAAAATGGCTGAGAATGTATTCATGTTTCTTGGCCATTTGGATTTTTTTTATGTGAAGTGCCATTTATAGTCCCTTGTCCAAATTTTTATTGGCTGTCTTCTCTTATTGATTCACAAGAATCATTTATATATTCTGAATACTAGCTTTTTTTTAAGATTTTTTTTTATTAATTTATACAAGAACTGGGGTACAGTTAGAGGCACCGGAGGGTGTGAGAATTCAGCAGAGCGAGGAGCAGAACAGGCAGACAGACTGAAGACACTACTGAGAGGAGCAGCGGGAGAGGCAGGAGAGGTCTGCCGCACCATGTGGGTTTCGCCCTGGCTGGCTGGGAACTGAACCTGTGCTGCAGAGGCTGTGGACAGCTTCACAGCGCTGTGCTCAACCTGCTGTGCCACCGGGCAGGCCCCTCGATACTAGCTTTTTGCCAGATTTTTGTGTTGTAAATGTTTTACCAACGGTTCCTTATATTTTCACACTCTAAGTTTACAGGTGCTTATTCTTTACAGCTTTATTATATTTTTTAAAAATGACCCAAAGCAAATTTATAATAAATAGAACAAGAATTAGCTGTATTAGATAAAACAGAAGAGGATATTGAGAGAATTCTGGGCAAAGAAAATAAGAGTGAAAACTCCAGTTATAGGAAGAATATCAGAGTGAGGAAACCATATCTATAGACTAAAAGATTGATAAAGAAAATTTTATTTTAAATTATTATATATTACTAAATAATAACATTCAATTAAATGAATTACTTAAATGAAAATAATTTAGCATTTAATGTTGGAAGCACAATAAAAATAAACTTGAGGCAAGATGGAAAATAAATACAGTGCTAATTACCTTTCAGTACATTAAATCAGTATTTTGTTGGACTTCAATTTTATACAAAATTTATATATGTAAATCACACAACAAAGAACCACAGTTCTACGACTTTGTATTTGCCATAACATATAATATTAGGTATGAGATCAGCATGCTGAGAAACGTTAAACCTAATTTTAAACAACCAAGTAATTTAAAGTCAAGTTACCACTTTAGCTATAAGGCCATGAGAAGTTCTAAGTCTTTATGAATTTAGATGAGCTATAAAATAGGAAAAATAGGAAAAATGAAAATGTGTAAGACAACAAAAGATTCAGTTTCCTAAAATAGTAACAGAAAATAGGCTTCCTTCTTCAAGTTTTCATGAAATAATTGTTCTTTCGACAAATACATTGATAGCACAAAAGTATTTTGAGTCACTAAATAAAGCTAACTACTGCTAAGCTGTCTTCCTTCACAAATCTTAATAAATATGTGACAGATATATAACTAAGATATATGAATTGTTTTAATACACATTAATCTTTTGAATTGCACATTTTTCTCTAGGTTATAATAAAAATAAAGTGAGTGTACAATTTATCTTTTTTATATATTTTTATCAAGTATAAATGTAACTGCCAAGAAACAAAATATTGCCTTTTAAAAGCCCTAGATAAGGAAATAATTTGACTAAATATTTTTTAGGTGAATCCCAGAATAAATATATTTTAAGGTGAATCAAGTACTTATTCATAAGATGAAAGAAATTTAAATAAAAAAATCAAATGAATAATTATGGTTTAAGCAAAAATTCTTTTAACACAGAAAATACTACTGGGATATGATTTTCCTAAAGGTAACAAAACCACTCATGCTGGTTCTGCTAAGGTAATATTCTTCATAGAAGTATGATAAATTTTAATTATGAATTCTTCTGAGGTAGCTAAAATATGAATATACAAAGTCACGGAAGGTGCTAAGGGCAAATACAGCAGTTCAGTGCCAACAAAATGGTTAAGTGCAAAAAAATTCTTATGCTAAAAAAGGTTTGTATGAAACTCTGAGAACCTTTATAAATAAGTTTTTATAGTCATTATACAACATAATAAAGAAATAACTTTCCTATCTCATTCCTAACTTCTTATGTTAAAATGATCTCTAACAGCACTGGTTTTTAATTGCTGTATAATGGAAGTGAAATTCTCATGATTATCAAACAGGCATTAGAAATAAATTACTACATATTCCAAATTCATATAAGGGGAACATCATCAGGGGACGGATTATTGCATTTGTCTTCCCCTAAATGATCTACAACCTTAAAATGAGGAAAAACAGATTCACTGATTATAAAATAAAGTTTCAGTTAAAATGAATCACAAAATGGCTTGATATTCATTTAAAAAATGTATCAATGGTATTTTTGGGATTATTTGGTTTTATTTTCTTAGATGTTGAGTTCTTTGTCATCAATCCTGACCTGGAATAAAAAATGAACACACAATTAAAATGGAGAAGGACATTACAAAAATAATTTTGCAAATAATTGGTCTCTAAAATTTCACTCAATATAAAAGCAAATGTTAAGAAATCCTAAAAATAAGACTTCAAATTTTGAGCTGTATAGTCACCTTTAATAAAGTTCAAATTAGCTATACCTTTTTGTCTTTGTTATAGTCCTCTGGATTCTGCCTGAGTTACCTTTAGAGGGAAGAAATGTCAAGAAATTCTATGATGAGTAATATGAAATAATTAAAGGCTGTATAAAAACTTAACAAGTTAAGGCAGACTGATATAAGATATTAAAAATTTCTTAGCACTACATAGCTCATACTTACACATACCAAAAACTAACTTTATTCCATAATTTCTTTTTTCAGCATAATTTCTTTATTATTTCTAAATTTATTTCAGAAATTTGGCTACAGTCAGAACACCAAAAAACAAACAAGCAAAAAACAAAAAACAGGTCAATGGCTATGTGATTGTCATTAATATACCACTGTGCTTTGGCAAATATTCTTTGGAACATTTCTATTTTGATTAGATTATTCAGTTCCATAAACCTTTATGTTCATTTTTTGTCAAATCAATCTCAAACCAAAGTTTTCCCCAAATTTAAAATATAATGGCTTCGGTTAATTCTAAGCTATGGTAAGGTCATTAACATTTTTCTAAATGGCAGCAGCATACACAAACTCTCCCTTTAATAGTATTTCAGATTTAACAACAACTCAGTTTTAATAAAACATTCCTAGAAAATCAAGTTCTTTAAAATGATTGCAACTCACCAGTACTTTTGGTGCTTCCTTCGGCTTGGTTAACTGGATTATCTTTATCCTTTTTCAGTTCCTGGATAATGCCTTTATTCAAGCAAACATCCACATGCACATTAAACAGGTCAAGATCTGAAGTCTTTTGTTCTATGTTACAAACAGGACAAATTAGAGTTTGGTTTGTCATCATTTCATGTAAATAAGTTTCCAGGGGTTCTTGCCGACTTAATGACCCCACATCTTCATTTTCCACTGAAACTGTACAAGAAGAATTCTGACAACAGTGGTCAGTATTAAGCCATTTGGTTGGTAGACGAGAACATTTCTCTACACTGTGTTTATTACTTAAAGTATCTACACTTTCTGCTTCAGATGGGTTACCTAAAGTCTCTACCAAGTCTATACCATCTACTGAAGTGATTTCTATATTCTTCTGATGGGTTTCATAATTTTTCTTCTCATGAAACGAATTAGGATGATGTACATTTTCCTTCCTGTTAACTTCTGTGGAGCAAGCATGTAAACATGAGACTATTGTAGCCTTTTCACTGATTGAAGGTTCATTAAGACATGCATCCACATGTTTATTAAAGGCTTCCAGACTGATGCTTCCTTGTTCCTTAAAGCAAATAGGACAGGTAAATATCTGACAGTAATCTAAATTTTCTGATGTTTCTAAGTTCTCATTCATCTTCTTTAAAACTTGGAATGATTGTGATGTCTGTAAACTTTGCTTATCAACAGTGTCATGTTTAAATAGGTCTTGGTGGCTCCATTTCCTTTCTGATCGTTTTTTATCAAAGAAACTCTTCTTAGGAGACATTTCTAGAGGTTTCAGAAACTGATCTTTGTCAGTTTTCTCTAGTATACACCCAGTTGCTGACAGCGTTTGGTTTCCAGCCTGTAAGAAGCCAATAATGCTCCTTTGTTGGTGTTTCTTGTCTTCTTCACTGGGAAACCCAGATAGCCGCACACCTAAATTAAACCAACCACAATTAATCAATTTCAAATTCAAACCAATTTATTCACAAAGCATGAAATCATATTGTTGTGAAACACATTTTAAAAAGACTTTGGAGAAAAATAATAACACTGTAAAACTTTCCAAATTAAAGAACACTTTTTCAAAGTTGGTATTTTGAGTAGAAATTTACTCTCCTTCATAAATTGTGTATCACTAAATAGTAATTACTGCTTCTCGGCCTTTTGGCTAAGATCATGTGTAAATATTAAGTATGTACTGAAGTTGGCATGATTATATAGGCCTTTCAATTATTATCTAATACACGATATCATATGCCAAGTAACTAATTGGGGTTAACCACACAAATGCTTTAGCCCTTTTCTCCCACAATAGACTTTATTTTTTAGAGGTTCACAGCAAAATTAAACAGAAAATAGAGAGTTCCCATATATCCCTACCCCCACATATTTACAGTGGTCTCCACTATGAACATCCTGTACCAGCATGTTGCATTTGTTACAACTGGTGAATCTACATTTACACATATCACTCAAAGTTCAAAGTTTATGTTAGCGATCACTCTTAATATACACTCTATGGGTTATGACAAATACATAATTACATGTACCCATGATTATTACATCATAGAGAATAATTTCACTGCTAGAAAAATTCTGTGTGCTCTGCCTATTTGTCCTTCCTTCTTCCCCAACCCTAAGTAATCACTGATCTTTTTAGTGTCTCCATAGTTTTTTTTCCAGAATGTCATACAGTTGGAATCATACATTATACAGTTTTTTAAGATCTGCTTCTTTTACTTAATATGTATTTAAGATTCCTCTGTGTCTTGATAGCTCATTTCTTTTACTCACTGAATAATATTCCATTGTCTGGATGTAACATTCACCCATTATTGAAGGACAACTAGATTGCTTCCAAGTTTATGCAATTATCAACAAAAGTGTTAATCATTTAGCTCTCTTAATTAACATACTTTATTCAATCAATCTCAGTGTGTGATCTTTCCATATATGAAGTACAGCTAAAGACCCAATGTTAGTTATAGAGTTGGCGTTTAGAATTGCAGATTTAAGGAAAAAGAAAAGAAAAAGTGATACCCATTAGTCTTAATCTCAAGGGATGTGGAGAATCAGCATCAATTTCTGTTCTTAGCAATTCTTTAGCAATTGCAAATATTTCTTCTGCAGTAGAAACAACAGATGAAACTGTAGATGCCCGAGTTTTTACTTCAAAATCCACATTCTTCAGCTTAATAGTAACAGTTCTACCCTACAACAAATAGAAATTATGTATAGCTTTCTAACTTCTAGAAAAGTTATTTTACAGCTTAGAAAATTCAGACAGGCCTTTATGTATATAAATAAGGAAGAATGCTCAATTATTTATAAGACATGGTAATGAAAATTGTCATAAAGAATAATTTAAATCCCTAAGTAATCTAAAAATCTCTCTTGGCCAATAATCACTATTCCCCTTCCCACTGAATTTTTATATAAGACCTTTATAAAATGGACAATTAACTGATCATTTTTCTTTTCACTGAAAAATCTTTCTAAAAGGGTATCATTAAAAAGATCTTGTGAGTAGGTCACATTTATTGTGTGCCTATTATGTGCCACATATTATGGTAAACAATTTACATGTAAACTCCTTACAGTCATTATTTAGTGGTTACAGCGTTTCAGTTTGGGATAATGAAAAAGTTCTGGAGATCAACAGTGGTGACAGTTGTCCAATAAATACATACTCAAGGCCACTGAAATGTATACTTAGGGGTTAAAATTTTATGTTAAGCAACTCTCTGGAGATGACAAAAATGGTTTACATTCACTTTCAAAGAATAGAGTATGGAATGGGAAAAGTAGTAACTTCACAAATGAGAAGCATAGTCAACACTACTTTAACCAAATGAAAAAGATAATGTTACCCATAATGTCATGTGGCTATCATATACCCTCACAGAATGTGATGAAAGGAATACTTTACCTCTTGGTATTCTTTCTAAATACCCATAACCCTAGTCTAATCATGAGAAAACGGTCAGACAGGCCCAGATTGGGTGATATTCTCTAGAATATCTGGCTGGTACTCCTCAGACTGCCATGGTCATGAAAAACAAGGAAATATTGAGATAATGTCGCAAACTGGAGGAGACATGAAGGAGACGTGACAACTAAATGTGATATGGCTCTCTGGATTGAATTCTGGAAAAAAAGAGGGCACTACTAGAAAAACTAATAAAACTCAACAGTCTGGAGTATGGTTAACTGCAATATGCTAGAGGTAGTTTCTTAGTTTTGACAAACTATGCTAATGTAAAATATTAATAATGAGGGAAACTCATGATAATGAGGTAAGATATTATTATTATTATAATAATAATGACTATACTGTCTTTGCAACTTTTCTGTAAGTTTAAAATGTTTCTAAAATTAAAGGCTGGGTCTCCCTGGTGGTGCAATGGTTGAGCGCTGGGTTGCGAAACTGCCCGCAGCCTCTGCAGCGCCGGTTCGATCCCCAGCCAACGGGCGAGGGTCCCACATGGCGCGACAGACCTCTCCTGCCACCCGCTGCTCCCCTCAGCAGTGTACTTCGTCAGTCTGCCTGTTCTGCTCTCCGCTCTGGCTCTGGTGAATTCTCTCACCCTCCCGCGCTTCTGACTGTACCCCAGTGCTTGTATAAATAAATAAATCTTTAAAAAAAATAAAATTAAATAAAATTAAAGGCTTATGTCAAAAAATATTTAAAACAACTCTTTACATTCAGGTATGAATAAGAGGGAGTATCAGAAAAATGCTCATCAGATATTCCATTTTTATAATATGCTTTTAATGCTTTTTTTTAACTTTTTTTTTTTTTAAAGATTTATTTATTTATTTATATAAGCACTGGGTACAGTCAGAAGCGCAGGAGGGTGAGAGAATTCACCAGAGCGGGGAACAGAACAGGCAGACTGACGAAGTACACTGCTGAGGGGAGCAGCGGGCAGCAGGAGAGGTCTGCGCGCCATGCAGGACCCTCCTCTGGTGGCCGGGGAGCAGCGGGGAACGAACCAGCACTGCAGAGGCTGCGGGCAGCTTCGCAACCCAGTGCTCAACCACTGCGCCACCGGGGAGGCCCCATTTAATGCTTTTATATTACACACTTTATAATAAGTCCACTTTCGGTTTGAGAGTGTTGGAAAACAATAAATATAAATTGTTGTGAGTAAAATTATAAAACAGAAAGTTCAAAGTCTTCCAGGTTTTGTTCTTAAAGTATTCAGCAACCTGGATTAAAGCCTTCAAACAAAATGCCCATTTTAGAAGTTCATTGTCTACCTGAGAGAAACATTAAAGGACGATTGGAAAGGCATTTATAATATGTAAATACACTTCTAGGGAAAACCTTTATTCTCTAAAGCCAATGTAACCATAACTTGGAACTTATTCAAATGTACTCCTGTGTTAATACAAAGTTCTCTGGAAATATCCTGGAACCACTCCACCCTTATAAGTTTCTTCTTGATAGATTGACCTCATCATAAGTCTCAGAAATGGGTCAGGACTGAATTTTTTCTGTTGGACATGGAAGTATTCTTTTCTGACACTTCCCATTTTTCATTCAAATGTAAAATCTAATTCTTGCTTTAAAGTAGCATTTTATTATTAATAAATTTTAAACTAAAAACACATCGAAATATAGTACCTTAAGTCCTTCTTTCTGCAGATCTTGAGCAAGTTCACTGCAAAGTTCTTTGCATAAACTATACTGTTCTTCTGCTTTACTTATCTCACTGAATGTCCTAGAAAGACGAGAATGATTATATTGCATAAACTATAAATGAAAATAATTTAGGAATGACAGAGTACACTTAAATGGCCTAGCACTGTGTTATATTTTCTACAACTACAAAATGAACACCTCAGATCTACCTAAATAATAGAAACTCATTTGGATAGCTAATCTGTTAAACAAAGGTCCATTTGCTCTTTCTATAATATTTTTTAAAAAGATGACTATGTCATCAATAATGATAACGCCCTAAACTTAAAACACAGTAGGGTATATGTGCATATAGACTCCACTACAGAGGATTATCTCGAGAAAGTACAGATGAGAACATCATTCTAGTTATTAGACATGTTTTTTTTTGGAAGACATACAACTTTACAAGTAGATTTAAGGGATTGATTCATGCATCTTGTTAGATGCCTGAAAAACAACTGAATATTGTCTCAATATACTTTTCCCAATAAAAAAATGCTAAAAATGAGGGGTTGGTTAGATTAAATGTAGAAAATTTGAATTCAGTTGTGCAGGAGTGCTAAAAGAAGTTGAGCAGCTATATTGACATAAGAAGATACTAAAGAGAGCTCAGGATAATAAGTAAAAAATCCTAAGCAAATGACTAGTCAGTGAAAGTTCCCCTATAACTCTAGTCCCAGCTATCCAGTTCTCTTCCCTTGTCAGGGTCCTTAAAAGGAGGCAGGAGGGACAGACTCAGACAAAGAGAAGATAGTGTGTTTGAAGATGTAGGATGGATGGGGTCATAAGCCAACGAATGAAAGCAGCCTCTAGAAGTTTTCAGTAAGGAAAACTTCCCTTGATGCCTCCAAAAGGACTTCAATCTTAATTTTAGGACTTTTGACCTTTGGAACTGTAAGCAAATCAATCTATGTTGTTTTAAGCCACTATATTTGTGGTAATTTGTTACATCACCAATAAAAACTAATACACCCCCACTGAGATTTATAGCCTTACCTGCTAGAACTTTGGCCAACCTGATTACTGAAAAATGCTATCTAGAGAATTTTCAATCTCTTTTTCTCTAACTACAAAGGAAATTTGGATTATTTTTACATGTTCTAAGAGACATTTGTATTTCCTTTTTTGTTAAAAAATTAATTAGATTGTATTCTTTTTTCTATTGGCTTGCTTGCTATTTCTTATGACATATTAATATTAACCAATATTAATATTCTTACACAGTAAGTAGTATTCTCAATACCAAGTGAAAAAATGAACAAAAATTCATTAAATAAGACAATGTATCTCATATTTGTATACTTTTCCTCCTATTTTCCTTTCATATCTGTTATAAAATCATAGACTAAGCAATAATTTTAATCAAAGTCACTTATTTGAGTGTATTGTCTTATGAAAGTCATTCAGCTTTTCTTACCACAAACAATACTGAAAAAATGAACACAATCTTGTTCTAGGTCAGTGGTTCTTAAATGTGTCAGAGGAACTTCGGGACTTTGAAGAGAAAACTGAAGGATTTTCAAACAATGATATATACCTCAAAACAATAAGGTTCCAACAAGATTGTAAACCCCTGAACTAAATCATTTCTAAGCTCTCTTTCATCAATACCTAATGATTTAATGCCTATGATCACTTATCAATATGAGAAGAGTTTGTTGAAGAATTTCCATTATCACTTTTTAAATTTCCTAAGTAACTACTCAGTATAATTTGTCTTACAAATAAGACTAGAAACTAAGATATGAAACCTCAAAATGCTTGGTTTTCACTGAATAGGAGCAAAGTCAACATTAAAAAAAATAACTGCAGTTAGTATTTTTCCTATTGAGAACACAGCAAGTGAAAATAGTAAAGCATTATAATGGGATATTTACTTTAGAGGAGTCAACTGCTGAAAATTATTATTTGATTTGTAAATAGATTTAATTCCAGTGATAGCTTACTAAAATTAAAAATTAGTTAAAAATAATATGAATTATGAATAATAAATTTTTTAAATTACCTCTCGACACTCATGCTTTTCCTCTCTCCATCCCTTGAAATGAAAAAAATATGTTTTTATTTGCTTTTTCAAAGACTGAGTTCCTTTTAGTTAACTAAGAAGATTTAACATATCAATTATCCTATAGAGATCTGAACAATATTTTGGTTAAAGTTTACAATTTATGAAAAACAGTGTTTTTATTTTAATCTAAAAATAAAACTATCACTATAGAATGTAGATATAGAAGATGCTACATGTGTAATGGATCAAGGAGAACAAATTTGAAAATAGTTAGATATTATAAATTGCTTCTATTAAAAGCCAGAAAATCAAAGCCCACAACTTACAAAAGCCAATAGAAGGTAGTAGCATAATGGCTTGGAGTTATAGGATATAATTAAATTTGAATAATTTAATATCAATTTTCTAGTTTTTGACATAGTATAATAGCTTCACTTTCCTGTATCTTATTCATTATTCATTAACACTCTATAGAACTTCAGTTAATATTTGGTAGACAGCAATAGGATGAATACTTGAAATCTGAACCATCTTGTTTGGTCGGATACTAGCTGCTCTGATAAGAGTAGTTGAAACCAATTGAAATGACATGTATATTTCATGCAATAAGTGAACTTATTATGAAATCAAATGCTTTTCTAGGCCTTGGGGTTATGGTAATAGACAAAAAAAGTCCATATGCCTACCCTAAGAAACATATCATAGTTGAGGGAGATGAAGAGCTGTGGAAGTAAATATGGATAGAAGGAGAGAAGTACTACAGATTTAAAAGTAAAGCAGAGTAGGGGAATAGAGAATTTGTATAGAAGGAAAGTGAATTTTGCTATCTTATATTATTATAAATTACCTATGAACTTTATTTAAAAGTATTACCTGCATCTCTAAATACCACAGGCTATAATATGTGCTATGTTATATTAAGAACTACACTGTTTTTAAGCACTGGAAATAAGAAGAGGATAATTTTTGAATTAAAGAAAGTTTTATTACCTATTATCTTCAAATACCAGATGATTTACAGTACTGATTTTTCGTTATATACTCTCAAAATCAAAGTCAGCTAACTGTTTTGATTCAAAAGAATGAGGAGCATGAAGGGATGAGAAAAGCACCACTATAGGCCTGGCAATCTCTGGAATACTGACTAATCGAACTTACTTTATATGCCTCCTCACATAAAAATCCTGTTTTCCTTTAGTTTAAGAATATAAAGGAGTTATTTTAAGGTCAGGCTGAAAGGATGACAAAATTGTAAAAATAGTACTGTTAATTGACATTACTTAAAAAAAAATCTTCTTTTCCATTCCCAACAGTGTGCTCTTCTAGTGCAAGACATACTTTTTAAAGACCTAGATGAAAGAGTGGAGGGAAGAAAACACAGGGGCTCTCCCCTAACTGTTTACTCTTCTCTTAGATCTTTAGATGGCTGGCTAAGGTCTCTGTCTATGAATGACTGCTGCTAACCCCACCCTTAGCTCAAGTCAAGTCTGTCTGCCTTTCGGTCTTCATTTGTTTATTTGGTTATTTTCTGTTTCCCACACTGGTATGTAAACTCCATAAGGCAGGCCTTTGTTTTATTTATTGCATATTATACCTAGTGCCTAGCACAGTGCCTAACACAAAGTAAGTACTCAGTTTTAAATGAATGACTCATTTACAAACCTGGAAAAGAAAAGAAATACAGTTAGTTCATGAAGGATCATCAGACCTTCTAGCTTAAAGGGTAAATTCTGGAATATGTATCATCATTCTTTCCTCAATAATCTGACAGTATTCTTATATTCTGAACAAAAAACAAGTAAATCAGAAAAGAGGACTCATCATTCCTCTTGTAATCTATCCAGGTGTTGTAACCAAAAACCTAGGAGTGATTCATTATCTTTTCCTTTTCTCCCATATACAATCTTTTAACTCTAATTCAAAAATTATATCCTGAATTGAACTTATCTTGAATTTAAAACAAATTAATCGTATAGCTTCCTCCTGGTGGTTAAAACTATTATTTCAGCAAATGATAAAGGGCAAGCAAAATGACAACGCATATAGATACCTTGCCAGGTGTGTTGAACCTAGACCCAGGGAGATTTGAAGGAAATAACGCCAAGATGTTTCAGAGAACAGGAGAGAAAGTAATGCCGTCTGTTGGTAGAGTTCTGTACAGGTAGTTATTCCAAGGGCCTTTAACATTTTCTCTGTAACTTTTCCTATTCCAGAGACCTAGATGAGAATCAATATTTATCATCAACATGTTTAAAAGTTAAGGTAAAAACTGATATTATATTCTCATTATACTTTTTATAATTATTAAGGGTATGAATAACCAATAAAGGTATGACTATCTTCACCACTTGTACAAAAAAGAGTTTTAATTACTTTTTGTCCCCATTTCCTAAACCTGTGTTCCATGGAAATTTAAAGTTAAAAATTTCACAGAATTGTTAAAGACTAAAAGAAAAAAAAAGTTTTACTGCAAGATTGGAATGTTCAATATACTGCTGTCCTTGTGACCCATAAAGGCAGGTAAATTCTGAAGTTATTTGGCCCTAGAATCCTTTTTAATGAACACCTGTTCATATTTTGAAAAATATATTGGATATTATGGAGAAAGCTTTCAGTTTTTCACCCCTGGGTATTATATTGGCTGTTGGTTTCTGCTACGTGCCTTTATCATATTTACATATTATTATATTATAGTCAATATATATATTACATTGAAGTAGGTTCCTTCTATTTCCATCTTATTTAGAGCTTTTATCATAGATGAATGTTGACTCTTATTGATATCAAATGATTTTTATCTGTTTTTATTGTTATGATAGATTACAGTAATTGATATACATATATTAAACAATCCTTGCACCCCGGGATAAATTCTATTTGATAATAGTGTATAATCCTTATGATATACTGTTGAATTCAATTTGCTAGTATTTTGTGGAAAATTTTTACATCAATGTTCATCAAGGATATTGGTATATCATTTTTCCTTGTGCTGTCTTTGTCTGGTTTCAATGTTAAGGTAATGCTTGGCATCATAAAATATATTAGGGAGGATTCATTGTATTTTTAAAAACAATTTGAACAATGTGGGCATTGATTTTTATTTAGAAGTTCAATAGAATTTGTAAAGCCACCTGGTCCTGGGCTTCTGGTTTTTGAAAGATTTTTTATTATTGTTTAAATTTCCATGTTTGTAATTGGTGAACTGGTGAAACCATTATGAAGGCAATCTGGATTTACATTAAAATTTAAAATTAAAACCAGAAATACCACTCCTAGCCACATAATGTGAAAACCATCCACAACAACAAAAAAAACTTTATGTTCTACAATATCTATAGCAGTAATATTTACAATAGCTGCAACATAAAAGCAACTTAAATCTCTTTTAACGGATGACTGGATCAAACCACATACCCTAGAATACTACATAGTCACAAGAAAGGATGATATGCAGTCATTTTCAATAAAAATGGAGGGAATTTGAAAAAGTTATATTTAGCAAAACAAGTTAGAATGGTAAAAACAAATACTAGACATTCATATAACAGATAATTTGACAACGTAAAACATTTTCAAAAACTATTGGGCATAAACAAACATCGTGAGGACTCTGAAATTAAGATCAGGGGGAAGGAAAGGAACAAGGGACATAAAGGATGTTGATGGGGGAAAATAAAATATCATTCAATTACATTTATTGAGAAACAATGCTTTATAGCCATACCTTAAATACAATAAGTTATTCATCAACCATTATATATTAGACATTTTGCAAAAAATCTTATTTTTGCAAATGGCCAACAGGCATATGAAAAAATGTTCAACATCACTTGTAATCAGGGAAATGCAAATCAAAACTACAATGAGATACCACCTTATACCAGTGAGAATGGCACACATTAAAAAAACTAGCAACAATTGTTGGCAAGGTTGTGTAGAAAAAGGAACTCTCCTGCACTGCTGGTGGGAGTGCAAACTGGTCCAACCACTATGGAAAACTGTGTGGAGCTTCCTCAACCTACTAAAGATAGAGCTTCCATATGATCCAGCAATTCCACTCCTAGGTATTTACCCAAAGGACACAGAAACATTAATTCCAAAGTGTACCTGCACCTTTATGTTTATAGCAGCACTATTTACAATAGCTAAGCTATGGAAACAACCCAAATGTCCAAAAATAGATGACTGGATCAAGAAGATGTGGTACATATACACAATGGAATATTACTCAGCAATCAAAAGATAACACATGCAGTTTGCAGCAACATGGATGGAGCTAGAAGGGATCATGCTCAGCGAAATAAGTCAGAAAGAAAAAGAAAAATACCAGATGGTCTCACTCATAGCAGGAATTTAGAAAACCTAAATAAGGGACCAGGAAAAAGACTAATTAATACAAAGTAAAAATCAAAATCAACAAACAACTATAAACCAGAGACACACTATGAGGTGAAAAGGCGAGGAGAGGAAGGATTAGGGTCAAAATAAGGGGGGGGGTGCAATTTTATGGGGAATATAATCAAAATGAAAATGCATACATTGTGCAAAAATGGAAAATGATCTAAGAATTGTATAAAATAAAATATTAAAAAAAGAAAAATACCTTATTTTAATTCACCCATTGAGTGAGAAAAGCAAGTCCTAGAACATCAAATAATATATAGTGCAATTATTGTTAAAATATATATGTATGTGCAAAAAAATCAAGAAGTTTAAAAAAAAATAACTCTTTTCCATAACCCCATTTTAAAGATGGTAAGATATTTTGGTTTTACTTTTTTGTCAAAAAAAATTAAAATTCTAAATCTCTTAAGTATCATACCTATTAATCTGGTAGCAATCTGGACTTTTGATCTCAGATAGTGTATTATGTTACAACTGAAAGGACTATTGCAAATATTCTTTTTATTTCTCTTCTCCTTGGCAGGGGTACACATAAAACTCTTTTATCTATTATTACTTTCTTCAAACTTTTCAGCAAATAAGATGCCTAAGCCCTATTTTCAGAAAGATTTCTTCAACTTCAAATAATTATCTATTATAATTCTTGCTTGTTATCCATTGTTTTAACAAAGATTAGTATCATCTTGAACAGTATCTCTCCAGAACTCAGACTATAGATAGAGTGACGATAAATTTTATAAACAATCTCACCTTTCTAATGGGTAAGTCCTTGATGAACTCCATCACAGCTTGTCTGTTGGGGAGAATTTGGTACTGTCCATTTGGTTTTTTCTTATCACTGCAAACTTTTGCTAACATGGTATTTGGGGCAATGCCTTAAAAGAAGAACACTCTGATGATTCAAAGAAGTTGATGTGTATGATTTTTAAATATGTGATGACAATATAGAAAAAAATATTAAGTACAAAATTCTAAAATGATAAGAATGCTTCTATAAAAATAACATTTGACTACTAATGATTTCTTCAAGACTTGCTATCACTTTAGAAAAAGGAAACACATTAGTAATTGTGGCAATAGAAATAATAGTTAATTCTCCATGGCATATAAGAGTAATTGGAGTTCACTTAGTGATATTATTATTAGTTCACTGTCATTCATAAGAATGCAGTACTGTCTTATAGGAGAGATCTAGAGTATTATTAGGTTGGATATTAACTCTTTGAAAAGGACTTTTGTAGAGATTACACATATAAAGGAAAAATACCAAAGAATTTGAGTTGCAATATATCTAAAACAATGATAAAAAAATGCATGCATCATTTTTATGTTATTCACAAAATAAATCACTACTTTTCAGAAAGACGTACAATTTTTAGGAACCTTAATGATCAAATAACTTGAAATAGGCATATTTAAATACAATGATTAAATAAATCATATCAGTTTTCATGCACATCTCTACCATTTATTACCTATTCGCATGCTTTAGTATAGAAAAGACTGACCTAACCATTATGAAATTTTTGTAAGATAATTTAGGATCCTCGTGATGAACATCAGTTTCTATGCTAAGACACAGTGATACCCTTACTGACATATGTGAAACTGTTTTATCCTTCACTAGATGGTCCTAGATTTCTGTGTTGCCGTTTCTTCTGTCTCCTACCTTGTGGTCATGTTGGATCTCTCTTACACTGTAATCTTGGAGATAGCTAAAATCTTCCAAAGCCAATTAAAATATATTTTGTACTTAAAAAAGGATAGTTATAGGAGACTTATGTTAGATTTTTCTTTGTGCTTAAAGACTTTGTTGCTTAATTTCAAGTTACCCATTGTTAACAGCATTCTAATAGGTAAAATTTTAGAAGTTGAATAAAAAATAGATAAGTATATGCTTTATTATGAGACACTATTAATAATACACTTGAATTAGTCAGTGTGAAAATTATAACCATGGTAGCCGTCAATATCTTTTTTAGTACCTGCACTGGCTGTCAGTCTTGTTTTTTGCTCGATCCTGAAACGAATTTCCTTTACCACTTCCTCAGCAGATATTCCAAAAACAACTGAATTTTGGAGTAGCTGAGGATTATTTTGTTCTTCAAAGTTCACTGGGAAGGAATCTCCTGGGGGCTGTAACTCAGGAGGACTGTCATCAAAAAGTAGTGGAGAGATGGAGCCTTCAAGTTCACTCGGTTTATTAATATCCTTTCCTGGTTTATCTAAATGATAAACAGGAATTGTAATTCATCTTAAGAAACACATACTTCATATATTAGGTTTGTCTACATTCTTTCTAAGGTCAAAACAAATCTAGTTTTAGTTTTGTTTCTAAGAGCCAAGAGAAAAAATGATATCACTTATATTTTGGTAACTCTAATTCCAGGTTTTTCTTAAAAAGAATATATCCATTTCCATAGCATACATTTTAAGAGGAAATATTCGGTTAACACAAGTTAACCGAAACCCAGAATTGCACTTAGATTCACATTATTTTTTTTCTTAAAAAGTAAAAATAAAAACTTTTCCATTACTCATCTCTGTAGGTGGGAGGGGGGAAGAATTTCTTAGGTTTAAGTTTAGGAATGAAAAGAAGGCATGAAGCAATCTAGAATAATTATGTCTAAAAAAAAGTTTTGCTTTAAGAGGGAAAAATACTCAAATTTTCTTCATTTATAGAAGAAAATTTTCAAATGTCAACATAATCTGCATTTTCTCTTTTTTCAAATGCTGGTTTTAATTTGGACTTGCTTGTTTATAAAGTATTACTTTACAAAGGGCACATCTGAAATAAATAAAAATTACTTCTGGAAGTTATACTTCTTTAAATACACACATTCTTAAAGTCTGATCAGATTAACTACGGTCCAAGTTTAAGACAAAGAAGTCTTTATTACTATCAACAAACTTATAAACTAACATTATTTTTGAAAAGCAAAGTAAAAATACCAAGCTATTTATTACCTCATTTTATTTGCATTTTTCATAACTGGGTTATCAAATACAAATCCATTAAAGACTTTACTCTCTGGGCTTAATGGAATAGAAATGCAGTTTAAATGGATTTATAACAACTAAGGTTAATAACAAAGCTTTCTGATCCCATTTCATAATTTTATTACATATAAATATTTTTCAAATTAAGGTAAATGTAGAAGCAAAAATTAAATTTCCAGTTCCAGGACACTGAATGTATATTACTTAAAAAAATGAACTTAACCTTTTAAGAAAATGTTCTAAGCTAATGTAAATAATGACAAAAATTTGATTAATTTCAAATTTTGAAGAATGTAATATGCATTGTTAGACAGAGGCTTTCTAAATCTGAATCCCCAGGTGATATCAAAATACACCTTATGATCAAAGTGATGTGCATTATTTCCTTTTCCTTTCATATTTTGATTTTACAATACAGAGCAGTTCAGAGGGGATTAAGACTGGCACAACTGACAGATTATCTATCTGGACCCCCTTTTCTCTACCTGGATGGGTAGAGTGAAGGTAAAAGAAACTGTAGAAAATCTGCAGAATAAATAAGGTAACAGCCCTTCCTTCTGCAAAAGCCCTTAAGCCACATTGTGTACCAAATGCCTTTAGGTGAGTCATTCTGATGGTAGAACACTCTAGTGGGGGCAAAAAAAACACCGTCGTGCTGTCTTCCGGGTTCATTGTGAGAGCTATTGCTGAATGACATGGTTACCGTTTCACTCTGTCTCTTCTGTTTCTTAACACCTTTGTTTATTTTTTCACAGCATAGGATTTCTCCCCTCAGGTGTGGTCACAATAGTGTACTTTTCTGTGAATCCTGGCTGTGCAACTAACTGCTGAAATTTGCTCTCTGAAAGAAATATCTTTATAATCCTCATAATCGAGGGATTCAGAGTACAAAACTAAGGTTTCTTATATTAGGCAACACTAGGAGTAAAGCATCCTCCTTTTTTTTTTTTTAATAAAGATTTATTTATTTATTTATACAAGCACTGGGTATAGTCAGAAGCGCGGGAGGGTGAGAGAATTCACCAGAGCCATAGCAGGGAACAGAACAGGCAGACTGACGGAAATACACTGCTGAGGGGAGCAACGAGCGCAATAGGAGAGGTCTGCGCGTCATGTGGGACCCTTGCCGGGAGCCAGGGATCGAACCAGCGCTGCAGAGGCTGCGGGCAGCTTCACAGCCCAGCGCTCAACCACTGCGCCACCAGGGGAGGCCCAAGCATCCCTTTTGGATGGCAAGTGCTAAAAGGTTTATAGTATTTCAGCTTCTTATTAATACATTGGCTGGCACTCACCATCCAGACCTATATGGCAGAATAAACACACAATAACAATAATAATTATTACTGGTAATTAGCAGTACTTTTCCAAAGACTGGACCTTTTTAAAAAGGGCAAACATAAATGCCTTGGACTTTAGGGAACAGTATCAATCACCTACCATGGCTCCAACTCACTTTGACAGCTTCTCATGCATAATATGGAACAAATATGCCTGAAAGTCCAGTCCACAGGGAGTTATATATGTGGGGAAAAAAGTAAAACTATTTAAATTGCTTAAGAATATGAGATGCATGAAGAGGAAAGTACATAAATATGTTAAAAGCAATAGACATTAAAAATTTACTTCCTCATATCCTCATTCACATTGACACATCCTCATAATGCGTTTGGACTTTAAACAAATGAAAAGAACATTAGTAGAGAATGAAAATATTTACCTGTGTGCCAATGTACTTTTTTTTTAACATAATGTGAAATAGTTATAGGAAGCCTTCAGGGGATTCTCGGATGTTACCTACAAGGTTCCTCTCCCTTCACTATGAAAACTAAAGAACTAACAAAATGAGATTTTAAAACGACATCAGGTTTTGTGTGCCACTTCCTCCAATAGTTAGAATAAGCAAAGATAACCTGTTACTCCAAGCTTCCATGTCCAGAAATTATGCTTTTTCATTGTTTAACATGTCTACTGAAGACAACTGCCTCTTAGGGTTCTAAATACCAATGCAGTTGTGATTCGGTGTTCACATTAAACTTGTTCCATAGATGTGAATCCCAAACAATATGACTTAGATTATGCTGTTGAGGATCTGCCACTTCCTTCAGAGAAAGTTACAAATCAGTTTCCCACTACTGCCTGTCCCCACCAAAGCAGCTAACCAGGTGTTCATGTGAACCGTAGCTGTGGGTTATGAGCAAACCCTGTTGCTACCTTTTTTCCAAGTGAACTTTGCTTAGGGTCCATGTCAGTTCCAATACTAAAAGTAATCACACAATTGACAGACAGTTGAGTAAGTGTATTAGCTGCATATTTCTTGGCCCTGTTTTGGATAGGTAGTAAAGGGACCATTTGAAAAACCAATGAAACTCCTGTTTTATTCTATATAAAAGAATCAAATAAGGTCTAATGTAAAGAAGGGTGATGGGGAATCATTCATTTTGGCAAGGTTGAAAACACTCATAATCAGTGTATAATCAGATTACAGAAAATTTGAGAAGGGAAGAAAAAAAAACCCAATATTTTGATATAGTTTTAAGGCAAAGTTTTTAAAAAAATCTATTTTCTATTAACATCTACAACAAAGTCAACTTAAACGGATTCAATGTAATCCAACCCTTTGTTAGGAAAAGAGCTGACTGAAATTAATTTGTACAGGATTCTGCGTACTCTTAAAGTCTAGAGATTTAAAATTCTCATTTGGTTTAAAAGTAACATTCCACACAACTCAAAAAGCCAACTGGTATATTTTAAGTTTCTGATATTTAATTTTTAATAATTTTCATAGTTTTACCATTTATACAAGCTAATTATTTAACAAGGTCTTTGGTTTGCTTTCTAGTTTTATTGTTCTAATAAATTGCTTACCATTTTCTAGAGAGTTCCCTGTTGTGATGAAATGCTTTCTTTTGTCCTCTGGCCAATTTTGTCTTTCCTGTAAGTGCTTTGTTATATTCAAGTAGGCTTCATCAAGACTCATGGCCATAAAGTTGGGGTCATAATCAGCAAGTATTTCCTTAACCTTCAAAAGGAACAATAGGATTTAAATTTTGCTTCTATAGCAAAACCTGTCATAAACAGCTGTAAGAAACATTAATAATCTTACTTTGCAACTATAGTAATGATTCTGCAATCAATAATCATGGATTTAGGGAATAAATAATTTACTGTCAAGGCAAGTTTGTCCAAATTCTTTTATATTAATATAGATCATGAAGGCAGATGACCATGAAAGAATTACATTTGCAACAATATCTACTTAGCTACATATACCTAGATATAATAAGTGATTAAAATAAATTTCAAACAACATAATTCTGGTAGGCACAAAAAATGGTTAAGCAACATAATTTAGATTGCTGGTTAAAAGCAGAAATAGAAGTGGGAAAGATGGATCCTGCTCCCCATCACCTTTCATGATGGCTTTGTTCATTTTGGTTCATTTTATTTATTTATTTATAAATTTTTATTTATTTATTTATTTATTTTGATTTTTAAAAAGATTTATTTATTTATTTGTTTGTTTATTTTATGTATTTATACAAGCACTGGGTACAGTCAGAAGCGTGGGAGGGTGAGAGAATTCACCAGAGCCAGAGCTGGGAGCAGAGCAGGCAGAAGGACTGAAGCACATTGCTGAGGGAAGCAGCGGGCGCAGCGGAGCAGCAAGAGAGGTGTGCGCCATGTGGGACCCTCCGCCATGTGGGACCCTCCTCCGGTGGCCAGGGAGCAGCGCTTCACAACCTAGCGCTCACCCGCTGCGCCACCGGGGAGGCCCCGTTTTGGTTCATTTTAAAAAGGAACAATCTTACATGAAGGTACAATGCTATAGAAAGGAGATGTAATTCAATTAATTACTGTATGCACATTAAACTCCACACAATACACACATTGATAGATGTGTCTTTTAAGGAAAACAAAACTCAATTATTGAGATTTAGAGCAGGAAAAGATGATAAAATCTGTAGTGTAAGTATTTGACTACGGTAAATGATGGAGACAAATCTGGAGTTGTATCTTTGGATATAAGAAATACATGAAGAGATCAGAATCTCAATATTATTCTAGAAATTCCTTTTTATATAAAATTGTTTTATTATAAAACTATGGACTTTTTAACCATGGAATTATTGGTGACAGAAAATGGTGACAGAAAATGGCTACCCTTTACAAAAGAGTACCTTTATTACTTTTGTTCAGTAACAGAAGCCATTTTTACTCAAACGGAATCTTTTCCAGTGAGAATGAAACTCTGGAAAGTCTGTGGTTGGCAGCCAACTGAGATTATTGTGAAAGAGAAGTACTCCCTAAAGACAATGAGGACTCACTAACTTCCTTTACTTAGGATACTGCTTTCAAAATGAAACAGGCACCTTCTAGTAAAAATCAAGCACATAGTCTTTGAGAACAGTTAAAGCTGTTCCACTCTTGTGGATAAAAAAATGACTTTTCTTTAAACTTTAATACCAAGCCATATATATTAATGCTTTTGTAGTCAGTAAATGTGTGCCGAGATTCATTTACAACCAAGAATTCATTTGTTATCTGCAAATGCACTAGGCAGGTTCTGCTCAAAATTAAAGATAGATTTTTTTTGACATATGAAAATAGACTAAAGGTAACTAATATGATTTAGTTCTCCTTGTCATACTAAGGACTTTAAAAAAATTCTTTCTAACAAAAGACCTTGAAGGATTTCAAATTTATTAAAAGGCTATAATAATTATGGTTAGCATTTTATCTCTTTCTAATAAGAATACAGTAAAAGAAATACGCAGCAACCAATGTGAAAGTACCTCCCTGTCCCCCACCACCTTTTCAGAGGTAGGCATAAAAGCACTTGCTCCCACAGACTCTTTTTGAAAGAAGGAAAACCATTTTTTTTTAAAAATTTGAAGTGGGATATTATTTTAATTTGGAGAAGTTCATTTCTAGGGGAAATGAAGTGAAATACAAGTAAGATGGACAAATCTAAAAACTATCTGCATGACTACATGGTGATAGGTGCTAAGCCATAATTAAGTGCTTTAATTCAGACAAAGTCAATAACATAGTGCCTTTTACCATAATAGTCTAAAAGGGTTTGGTGTAACATTCTAAAATTTTAATTTATGGCTTAAGTTCAAGTGCTGGCATGACAATTTAGTTTTCAACAAAAATAGCAAAAAATTAATTTTTTATGTGATGAGTTAGGCAATTTTAGTGAACAGTCAAATCTTTATACTTCAGAGATCCTTTTCAAAGCAATGGATTATTCCCCTTTTTCTGGTTATCAGTTTCTTAGACATTAAGTACTTAAAAGCATCTTCACTAAATTGTATGGAAAGCAGCTAATCAAAATAATTTTGTCACTATTTAAAAACACTGATAGGCGCCTCCCTGGTGGCACAGGCGGTTGACCGCTGCACTATGAAGCTGTCTGTAGCCTCTGCAGCACAAGTTCAATCGCAGCTGGCCAGTGAGAATTCCGCATGGCAAAGTAGACCTCTGCTGTCTAGCCCACTGCTCCCCTCAGCAGTGTATTTTGTCAGTCTGCCTGTTCTGTTCCCCACTCTGTCTCTGGTGGATCCTCTCACCCTCCCGCGCATCTGGCCTGTACCCGGTTCTTGTATTCATGAATAAATAAATCTTAAAAAAAAAAAAAGAAAAGAAAAGAACGTAAACATTTGTACAAAAATAAATAAATATATAAATAAAAATTAAAAAATAAAAACACTGATAAAAATGTATTCAGAAAAAAAGGTTAAAATTAATGATCTGGGTAGATTCTGTAAATGATAAAAATAAGGTGATTCTAGAAGAAAATGTATATTGCATATTAAGAAAAAAATAGCTAAAGTTAATTTACATCATAATAAGGCAATTCAAAGTTTTCTGGTAAGATAAGAGTTTTCCTTTTTTAAAGTTTTATTTTATTTATTTATGCATACAAGAACTGGGGTCTAGGCCAGAGATGGTGGGGCGAGAGGGAGAGAGAGAGGATTCATCAGAGGAAGAGTGGGGAGCAGAACAGGCAAATCTACTGAAATACACTGCTAAGGGGAGCTGCAGGGAGACAGGAGAGATCTGCCGCACCATGTGGGTTAGCTCCCCAGCCATGTGGGTTAGCTCCCTGGCTAGGGATTGAACTCATGAGGCAGTGGCTGGGATAGCACGATAGTGCTGAGAATTTAACCCCTGCACCACCAGGGAGGCCCAATAAGAGTTTTCTGAGCAGAAAAAACATGTGGGAAAGCAAAGTCTTGGGAAGTAGATGGGGGTATTCTAGATACCATATGTATTATTAGTCAAATAAGTTGAAAAGTGGCAAGAGGTGACTAAAATGATAAGCTAATAAGGCCAAATCCTAATGTGCAAAGGCATTCAAACTTGATTCTGTAGGTGACAGGAAATCAGTGAAAGGCTATTAGGTAGAGGTGAGATATCAGACTTACCTCTCTACTCACAGCTTGGTATTTGTCAAAGTTTGGGGGCACTATAATAAGCTGTGGGCAGAGTCTTTTAGCAATAAATCCTGGCATCGCTGCGCGAACACCAAACCTCCTTGCAAGGTAATTTGAGGTAGACTGAAAAAAAAAAAATGGACCACATGGGAAAATATTCAAACGTAAATGGCCATAACGATCAATACATTCATAAGAAACAAAGTACTGATAGGCATTTCCAAGGACATTTTTTTCAGGTCACAGTCTCAAACCAAGCTTTTATTTTATTGTATTACAATGTTCTAATGTATGACCCTTTCCCACGGTTGTCCCCATATTTACAATGTGAAATCAGGTAATAACCAAACTATGCTAATAAAAAGGTTCTCTTACATTTCCAGTAACTAAACTTTACTGGTTTAAAGGCATACCTGTATATAGACTAAATATATCAAAGTTTGGATGCTAGTGGGTGATGTTACATGACAGCAGTTGTATATAGTAACAGTATAATTATAAAGTGACATACCATAAATGTTACATGAAAATATCATATAGGAAGTAACAGTATAGTATAAGAGTACAGATTTGAAATTTGCTCTACTAGATATTTTGGAAATTTTTCATCTAGAACAGGAATTGAAGGTCTGCTATATGGTAAAGCAAATTAAATATCCAGGAAGTTATTAAAGTTTAAAAGAACTTTAAAAATTAAGTTTTAAGTTTTATTTCTAAGACTTGAATATCTTCTGACGAAAACGTTCTGACTAGGAGATAGACCTAAAAAAATATGGTATTAGAAAGGGAAGAACATTACTTATTAGACCCTGTTGATGATACTGTGAGAAAATAATCTATGTCAATGGAATAGGCCACGGTATCATTTATAAATTTTTTTCTGCAAATGGGATCTTTGAATTCTCAAGTGAAAATTCAAAGAAATGCAAAACAGAATATATCAAGTGACAGAATCATTTCAGAATAATATTCTCAATTTGGGATTAGTGATCTTCAAACATCATTTAAAATTTTTCTATTACTCAAAACTATGCTAATCATTTGTAAATATTCTGGAACAGTATATGGAACAATAAATGTAGTTAACACTAGAATATAAGGTCTAGTGTTTTAAATATAAATTAAGTCTAATGGAATTGATATAAAAACTAGATCTCTAGTAGAATAGAAACAAAATTTTAAATATGACTTCTTTTAACTTTTAAGCTTGTGGCAGATTGTAAATTCTAGCCACATTATTTTACAATTCTTCCTATTAAGAGATGGGTTCTAGTTCTGTATGCCAAGTGATTTGCTTTAACCAGAAGAATGTGAGGAAAATAAAATTGTGTGTGTCCTGAGCTTACCCCTTAAGAAGTATGCAGCTTTTGTAAACAGTGCTACAGTAAACAAAGGAGTGCAGATTTCCTTTCAAATTAGTGTTTTTGTGTCCTTCGAGTAGTTTCTTAGGAGTGGAATTGCTGGGTCATATAGTAGATGCATTTTTAGTGTTTTGAGGAACATCACACATCTTCCCATCGTGGCTGGACCAGTTTATATCACCTCCAGCAGTATAACAGGGCTCTTTACTCTCCATACCCTCACCAGCATATGTTATTTCTAGCTTTGTTTTTTTTTTTTTTTTTAACATGGGCATTTCTCATAGATAAAAGTGATGTTGAACATTTTTTTTATGTATCTGTTGGCCATTTGCATTTCTTCTTTGGAGAAGTGTCTGTTTAGTTCTTCCCATTTTTTGATTGGGTTGTGACTTTGTTTTTGTAGAGTTGTATAAGCTCTTTGTAGATCTTTAATATGAGTCCCTTATCAGATGTATGATGTGCAAATATTTTCTCCCATTCAGTAGAGCATTTCTTCAATTTGGTTGCTATCTCTTCTGACTTTTGAAAAGCAACCTAAATGCCCCAAAATAGATGAATGGTTCAAAAAGATGTGGTATATGTACACAACAGAATACTACTCAACAATCAAAAAAGATGAACTCACACCATTTGTGACAATATGGATGGAGCTGGAAGGGATTATGCTAAGTGAAATAAGTCAGAAGGAAAAAGATAAATATTGGATGGTATCATTTATATGCAGAATATAGTGAAACCAAACAAATGGTAAGGAAAAAGACAAAACTTGCAAGCTGACAATAGATCTGAGCTTTCTTTTCCTTTTTTTTCCCCCTCAATTCTCTTTAACTTAAACAGTTAACTTAGGAAAAATATAATTTGCAAAACAAAGATACAATGTCAGTCTTTTTTTTTTTTTTTTTTTTTTTATAGAGGCATGTTTTATTTATTTGTTTTGTTTGTTTGTTTGTTTTGTTTATACATGCACTGGGTACAGTCAGAAGCGCGGGAGGGTGAGAGAATTCACCAGAGCCAGAGCGGGGAGCAGAGCAGGCAGAAGGACCGAAGTACACTGCTGAGGGGAGCAGCGGGCGGCAGGAGAGGTCTGCGCGCCATGTGGGATCCTCCGCCGGTGGCCGGGGAGCAGCCGGGGATCGAACCGGCGCCGCAGAGGCTGCGGGCAGCTTCGCAACCCAGCGCTCAACCGCTGCGCCACCGGGGAGGCCCTACAATGTCAGTCTTAATAGTCACTGGACTTTAACACTGGGGAAACTTTTAAATATGTGAATTTGTTTCCTTATCTGTCAAATAGAGATAAAAATGTGCACCTCAGGGATGTTGAAAGGATTCAGTAATTGAACACATTTGGCAGCCAGAAAAAAAATTTCAACAAACTGATAGAATAAAGGCTCTTCCCCCTTTCATGAACCAGTAAGGCTTACTTGAGTATGTTATGAAATTTTCTTTTTCTCTTTACTTACTTACCAACATACTCTTTGATCCCACCGCAATGGGTTTATCCTTTAACTCTGGATTGTCTCTCATTTCTACAGCTGCGTAGAAAGCATCCATGTCAATGTGCACGATGGTATTGTTCAGATCCCGGTTCTGTTCTAATTCCATTGCAAATTTGTCAACCTTCATTTTCAAAAGGTTAACATACTTTTAGGCAATGTAATAGTCAAACATCTCTCATATAAAATTAACATTATTTTTAGTAGGTCTCTCCATGTGTCTGTCTCCCATCCATCCATTCACCTATCCACCCACCCAACCATCTACTCATCTATTTGATTATTGTTTATTAAGGCCAGTAATTACTTCTGTTTTCATGAACATAGGTCATCTGCTCTCAAGTGTCATTTATTACCAAATCTTTTATCTCTCAACACCACCAAGCACATAACAGGTGACATAATAAATATTTCTGAATGATTCAACTATTCCAAGTGCTTGTATCAAATAATTGATTCTATTGTTTTAAAATTTGGCAAACTTATTATGACAAAAAGTTCCAGGTTAGGTAAAATAAACAACTCCCATCTGACTCATGCTATTAATGTTTTAAAACAGCAATGAAGGAAATACACAACAAATGATTATACTTTTTGGCATATGATGTTTATGCTGAATATTATACAGCTAGATGTAACAAAATATAATTACAACGCTCCTTGTGTAGAATTGCTTTTGAAAGGCTAAAATTTGATAGCTGTTAACTTACACAAATCAAAACAGAAAAGTTAAGCTGTAATTTATTCTTTCATGAAATTTCAACAAATTTCAAATTTCTTTGGAGACAAAGAGTTGGATTGATAAGAAGAAAAATAATAAAAAGGGGTAGAAATAGCCAAAACAGGGCAGTAAGAAAAGAGTTTATGTACCAGACAAACTCATTTCCAAGAATTCCTTTTTTGTGGCCTTTACTGAAAAAGCTAAATATACACTGTCACAGATTCCCCTGAAGCTGAGGGTGACTGTTTTGAAATATATAACATATAAGGTCAATAATTCCATTAAGGGAAAAATCATGAGAAAAAAGAGAAAGAAGCTACTGAATGAGATAAAATACATAAAAAGCATGGAAGAGTGGTTGGCATATGTGGCAGGCTCAATAAATGTAATTGATTATGGAAAGGATCAATAAATAACTGCAAAACAATCCAAAACAATCCAAAAGAAGGGGAAGACAATCAGAAATAAACAAGTGGGGTGAACTGTGGAACAAAAGCAATTTCCATTATGTGACAATACCTATAGCAGGATTTCCCCTTCACTGGATTTCAACCTTCCTTCTGTGCTGTAGAAATTTCTCTTATGGTCTTCCTTCTTAGCATTATAGTGATGCTAGTTCCAAGTTAAAACTGCAACTCTTTTTTTTGGGAAACAATCATCCTGAATCTTATTTGTCTCCAGTAACCACTGAAAAACTTTCTAGAAAGCTGTCTCCTGTTTAGGCTGCAACTCACTGAACAATCCAGGGTGTTCTGTGCCCTTTTCAGGCTGTTATTCTGTCTAGAATGACCCTCCTAGTTTAGTCACAAAGCTTTCAAGGATCAGCTCAGCTATGTTTCTGTGACTTAATTGGATCTCTGTCATCTGTACCACAGAATTTGATGTTCCTTTATTTGTTTTCCTGATTTTACTGTCATTCATTGCATTAGATACTAAATTGTGAATTCCATCAGGAGAAAGACCTCATCTGCATTTAAATTTTTTCCTCAGGGAGGGGAGATGTGAAGGAGAAAAGAAACAAAACACACAAAATTTTTTCTTGGTTAAAAAAGAGAAAATAGTATATGTCAAAAAAATATGGAAAAGGCTGATCTCCTGCAATGAGATACCACAGTAAATGAATAAATGAAATTTTGGAACATTAGTTCAATTTATCAAGCAGATTTATAACTATTTCTTCCACTGCCTTACTATTAAACTAGGAGACAGCATCCTGACATAAAAAAAGATGTAAACAAATCATGGAGACTATCAAACAAAAGGGTAAATTAAAAAAATACTCTATATTAATACAGAAAATATGCCTAAGTCATGAGTCAATTGAGAAGGGAGCAGCATCTGAAATATCTCAACCCTGACTCACTGGAAAGGAAAAAGATAATAAATAGAAAGCAAACCAAATGGGAAGATACTCCTTGAACTAGTATATTTGCCATGAGAGTTTCTCCAACAATCTATTATTGTCTTTTCTGTGCTTAAAGCAAGCGAACAGTTGCCAAAAGGAAATCTCCCCACTCTATGACTCATACATTCCACTTTCTTTTACTATCTCTCATCAGTCACTCTAGTCTCAACCCTTCTACACCTACCAAATGCACACTACCACTGCTTTTTTCAAGTTTTTCGAATGAAATCCTCATTCAGGTTTTCCTTTCTTTCACTTTCTCTACCAAGTGACTTTCAAATTCTGATGTGTCTCTAACATGGACATTATCCCTTTCACTATTGTTCAGAACCACCGTTTGTTACAGTAGTGAAGAGGGCTTTGTGCGGACTCCAGGTCTGACACTTATTACTTACATGATAGTGGGCAGATTAACCCCTCTCAACCTTACTTTCCTTACTTGTAAAGGGAGACTAAATGAAACTCAAAAGGTTGAAAGAACTAAAAGAGATACTCAAGTAATGTACTTATCCTGGGACATGGTATAAGAGGTCAATGACTTTATACTTCTAAAAGCAGAGTGGTATGTTACTATGTATATTATAAATGCCATATAATATACTAAATGTTTATGTTAATTCATTTATCATTTAAAGGTCAAAATAATCCTGAGATAAATTATTATTCTTATTTCATAGAGGAGGAAATCAAAGCTGAGGAAGATTAAGCATGTGCTCTGTCATACAGTTGGTAAATGTTAGAATACCCCAAACCCTGTGCTCTTTCTATTGTTTTATGATAATCCCCTAAAATAGATTTTATTTAAGTGTTTTTTTTAAGATTTATTTATTTATGCATACAAGAACTGGGGTGTAGGCCAGAGGTGCAGGGGCTGGGGGTGGTGAGAGGATTCACCAGAAACAGAGTGGGAAGAAGAACAGGCAGATCTACTGAAATACACTGCTCAGGGGAGCGGCGAGTTCAACAGGAGAGATCTGCTGTGCCATGTGGGTTAGCTCCCTGGCTGGTGAGGAATCAAACTTCGTGCTGCAGTGGCTGCTTAATAGTGCTGTGTCTTTAACCTCTGCACCACCAGGGAGGTCCCAATTTTTTTTTTTTTTCAGTTTTTAACACTGAAATAAGCTCAAACCAAACTCCAGTGGTATATTTTATATCCAAATTATTTATTTACTTAATAAAAACCCCTTCTGAATGGACTTAGCAGCCTTTCAGAAATACTGTTTTTCATTTTCTTGATTTTAGTATTACCCTAAAAAATGTTGAGTATATTTGAGTTCATAAAATCATTAAAATGATTAAAATGCACTGATTTGCTGTGTAGTTACTATTTAATATAACATGGATGTTTGTCTATTCAATTTATGAAACCAGATTATAACATGTTTGAGCTTGTACAAAAATAACTGTCTTTAAGAAGAGGATGGGATGTGTTAGGGAACAGAAAGATTCTGCATAAAGCTTATAGGAACAGTTACCTCTGCTTGACAAGGCCTATCTTATCACTCATAATAAAATCTATTATTCGGCAATCTTAGAACTCTAAAAATAAAAACACATTTCCCATGAAAACCTCTCTGTTCTCTCAGAGCTTCTTGACTCCTAAGAACTTCCTCAAGCCCCTCCCATTTACACAACTTCTTTTAAAGGAAGCTCAACAAATGAAATAATCTAACAATCAACAAAAACACATTTCCTGCCATTCCCCTTGCAAAGGATGCCAGAGAGCCTCCCATGTAATAGTCAACAGAAACTGCACAAAGTCTGAAGTCCTGCTACACAATGTAAGATATTTTCTATTCCTTCAGATTACTAGCATACTTAAGAATATGAGCTTTACAAAGAGTATAAACAGCAAAGGACTAGATTACTCATGTGTACTTTATCTTTAAAGCTTTATTAAAGAGATCCAGAAAGCAAATTTCCTAAAAATTAACACCAATGTAAAAGCAATGTGATTGTGAACAGATGGAAATTCTTTTTAACTTGATGAAATGATATTTAAAATTTATTTCAAGGTAACAATGCATTAAAAAAAATTTAAGAGCAGTGAGAGAATATATAAAGTTATAATATTATCTTTAAAAATATCATTAAAGGGCTTCCCTGGTGGCACAAGGGGTTAAGCACCGCACTATGAAGCAATCCTCAGCCTCTGCAGCATGAGTTCAATCCCTGGCCGGGCAGGGAGAAACCCACATGGCGCAGCAGACCTCTCCTGTCTCGCCCACTGTTCCCCTCAGCAGTGTGTTTCAGTCAGTCTGCCTGTTTTGTTCCCCATTCTGTCTCTGGTGAATCCTCTCACCCCCTGCATCTCTGGCCTGAACCCCAGCTCTTGTATGCATAAATAAATAAATCTTTTTAAAAATTATTTTAAAAATCATTAAAAATACATGGTACTGATGCAGGAAAAGATTCAGTTGATTAGAAGAGTCCAGAAACTCAAATACAATGAGAATTTGGTATATGGGAGTGTCTCATTTCAATTTATTGGAGAAAGGACTCGTTATTCAATAAATGGTGTTGGGGTAAGTTAATCTTCATTTAGAAAATTAATACTATTTAGGTAAAATATAATACTCATAATTTATGGAACAAACTTTATATCTACACATCAAAACAAATTCCAAATGGACTGAAGCTCTGAATATAACAAATACATTAAAATATTAAGAAGATAAAAGCTTGTTTATGAAGAATAACTATAAATACCAAAGCCAAGAAAAAAAATATTTAATCACATATATATTTAAAGTTGTATAGAGAAAAAAAGTCTGAAAAATTAAGAGACAAACAGAATACTGGAAAAATATTTAAAACAGTGCAGAGAAAAAAATACATTATATATGATAAGATCTATAAATCAAGAGAAAAAGATACAAACTCATCTAGAAATGTGGGCAGAGGATACGGTTTTGGATGGCTAGTTGAACACCAATTCCATTCTCTCATTTTTCCATAGTAATAGATTTTTAGCTGAGCAGAGAACCAGAGTATTTTATAGCTTCTCTTGCAAATAGGTGTTGCCATGAAACTTTAAATTCTTGCCAAAAGAATGTGAAGAATGTGTGTACAATATACACACAACTTTTTTTTCACCTGTTTAATGGCAAATTATTTGGCTTTGGTTTTTCCCTCATTCTTTCTTCCCCACCAAGGGCTGAACTATGTATAGGAGGTAATCCAGTTTTGTCAAGTCAGGCAAGGATGACACTAGGGGATGATGGAACATCATCATCCTTGTAGACCATTGATCTTTAAATTACTATGGTGATCATAATAACCTGACCCACTGGAAATATTAAGCTATTATGTGAAAAAAAGATCTCAGTTTGAACCATTATGTTTTGGGGCTCTTGTGTCAAATACTTAGTCTATATTCTAAGATAATAAAGAGGAAGTACCCATAAGATAAAAATATTAATGGCCAACTAATATATGAAAGAATGTTCTTTCTCTGTCATAATCAAAAGAAGTCAAATTAAAACAACCATGAAGTATTTGGGATGCTGTTATCAGCAAAACCTTAGATTGATAAAATAGATAAAATTTTATCAATTGGTTTTAAACAAATATGTGAGGAAACAGCACTCTTATGTAAAATGGTACATACAATTTTAGTGAAAATAACAGAACAAGAGTATAAAGAAGTATGACAGGGGTTCAGAACAAGCTTTCCCCAAATGTATGCTTTGGCTTATGGATTATTTTAAACTGAAGGCAATTAAGACTCATCAGTCAAGAAAAACTTTTTCCTCTCAACTATCCAAAATAATTTAGACAGAAGCCCAATATCAGGAAAAGAGCTATCACCAGAGATAATTACAAAGAATATAAGCTATATCAAAGACTATGTGGTAGACAGAGAGAGATTTAGCAAGGAACTTGTTAGCCTGTTTGGTTAAAATTCTATGTCCCGTTGTCTCTGCCTTGTATGGCAAACATTTGTTTACCAAATATTTGTTCTTCCTATCTTCCTGTAAATTCTCTTCTATCCCTTTGAAGTCCCAGAGTCCTACCCTCTTCTCTCTAACTACGATGGCATAAAACCTCCAATTGCCTGACTATTGGGGAGTGTTAAGTGTGTGTGGGGGGGCGGTCCCATATACACAAAATTAAATATGCTTTTGTCCTGCTAATCTGTTCTTTTTAATAGGGGTTATCTCGGCCAAGACCGTAAAAGGGTAGAAGGAAAAAATGTTTTTCTCCCCTATAGGTGAGTAAAAATGATCATTATAAGGTTGTATTTAAAACAAAATATGGACGCCAAGGTGGATAACATAAATATGTTACAGTACTGCCATACAGTGGAATACTATAAAGCATTACAATAGTGATTTTACAGAGAAATCATATTTTGTCATGTCTGCAGACAACAAAGAAATTAAAACTAGCTTGTGTTTTGGGAAAGTATATATGAAAATAACAACACATTATAGATTAGTAAAGAAAACATTAAATCTATGATCTCTGTATCTATCACAAGAATTTTATAGCATATTAGATTACCACTATAATTTACAGTTATGTTATAGCATAAAGTGCTTTACTAAATTGAATCAGATGTTGACAAAAGGTAAAACTAAAGTTAGTTTTCAAAGTTGAAAGTAAACTTTAGTTTTACTAGCACAACCTTGATGCTTTGAGTTCTCAATCTACCATGTGATGCTTTGTAGCTTTGGCTCTTCTCAAACTTCTCCCTTGAAATAATTTCTAATACCAGAGAAAACTCTTGAGTATTTAACTCCCAAATATACCAGAGAAGTCAAAGTCCCCACATTTTTAGAAGTACTGCATTTTATCTAAAAAATTCATGCACGTTTGGCATTTTACTTTTGTTTTAATCAGTTAACATATTCCCCCAAATTTTCTTGTACAATCAGTATTGCTGAAAACATGCCACATTTATCCTGAGGTCTTTTCAAAGAGTAAAGTATGTATATAATACTTAGAATATAAATTTTGTATTAAATCATAGCTCAGTGAAATACTTACATGAAACTGCGCAAGTTCTTTAACCTAATGGAAGGTCTACGTGCAGGGTCTTTATTAAAAAAGTAGATCAGTGTTTAACAAAGTAAAGTATGTACATTTGTTATTTTTTTATGCTTTATAATACATCAAACGTTTGCATTTCTCTGTGTTTTCAGGTATGATTTGCCCACGATGCATTGTTTACTCTCAATTACTATTCTACCAACTTCCCCTTCATTTAGCACTAAACGGATACCTGAAATTGTGCTTTTCTTAGTTGTTGGCTGGTAATTTGAGCTTTTTGTTGCATCATATTTTCAATTCGTTGGTTGACTTGCTTATCTTTCTTGAGTTCATTTCCATAAAATCTGGACCCCTATGTAGGAAAACAAAACATAAGAAAAGTGTATAAAGGAAAGCGTGATTACGGTAGTGTAACCCGAAGGCCAAGAGCACAGACCTTGGAATCAGAATGAGAATTCAAAACTTACTTTCATTACTTTTGATATCAGTGGCCCTAAAATTACTTAATCTCAGTTTTTTATCTATAAAATAAATTTATATTTATCTAAATTACTGGCCTATAGTGTGAGCCAGAACTCAGCATAGTACAAACTCTATGAGACAAGGTAGGTAGGACTCACTGCACATATCCAAAGCCTTAGACATCTGGGTTATTAGTTATCTTCTTCACTTTGACTTAAATGTAACTTCGAAAAATTAATGTAAACCATTAAAGTACTCATCATCCCATCATTGAAAATAATACCTATCCATCCAGTTGATAGACATATAGATTATTTTTATTTTTGGTTATTATGAAAAAATGCTATAATTAACATTCATGTACATGTTTTTATGTGGACATGTTTTCATTTTCCTTGCTTATGTATCTTGGAGTAGAATCTCTGTATCATATGGTAACTCCAAGTAAAATCTTTTCAGGAACTACCAGACTGTTTTCCAAAGTGGTTGAACCATTTTATCATTCCACCAGCAAATGTATAAAGGTTCTAATCTTTCCATATCCTTGTGGTTGTTCATTATTGTCACTCTTATTCATTACAGCCATTCTCGCCTATAATCATGTGAGTGGCATTTCATGATGGTATTAGTATGCAATTCCCCAATAATAAATGATGTTGAATACCTTTTTATGGGCTCACAAGCCATTCTTATGTCTTAGTGAAATATCTACTTTTATCTTTTGTCCAGTTTTTTGATTGGGTTATTTGGCTTATAAATGAGTTATAAGAATTCTTGATATATTGGGGATATCCTTTTTCAGTTGAGTGTTTTGCTAACATTTTGCTCAGAATGTTGCTTTTATTTAATGCTATCTTTTTTTTTTTAAAGATTTATTTATTTATTTATACAAGCACTGGGTACAGTCAGAAGCGCGGGAGGGCGAGAGAATTCACCAGAGCCAGAGCAGAGAGCAGAGCAGGCAGAAGGACCGAAGTACACTGCTGAGGGAAGCAGCAGGCGGCAGGAGAGGTCTGCGCGCCACGTGGGACCCTCCTCCGGTGGCCGGGGAGCAGCCAGGGATCGAACCGGCACTGCAGAGGCTTCAGGCAGCTTCACAGCCAAGCGCTCAACTGCTGCGCCACCGGGGAGGCCCTATTTAATGCTATCTTTTGAAGAACAAGTATTTTGAATTCGATGAGTTCTGATTTATCACCTTTTTCTTTTATTGACTGTTGGTGACAATTCAAAAATTGTTTTGCTAACCATAGGTCTGAAAGATTTTCTCCTATCTTCCAAAAGTTTTATTGCTTTGACTCTTTAATTTTTGTGTGTGGTGTGAGATAAGTTCCTCTTTTTTTGCTTGTAGTTTAACAATATTACAAATTGAAATATTAACATTTATAATAAAGATATTTAAAATGTATCTTTTAAACAGAAAAATTTTAAATTACTATACTAATAAAAAGGAAAGAAACAGGAAACATACCTTTGTGGCTTCCATTATAATTTTGTTAATTCTTTCTTTATCTAATCCTTCCATTCCAGCTTTATTATCATTAAGTCCCACCCTAAGCAGAAGGTCTTCTTTGTAATTGTCATTCTTCTTTGCACCATCCATGGTGTAAACTTAAGTTAAACTGGTGTTTCCTTATTATCTGAAAAATCATACAAAATAAAGACTACTTTCCAAAAGCATTCATGTGGGGAGATGGATGCTTAAAAATGATATAGAAATAGGCAAAACAAATAAAAATGATAGCTAAGAATTTTCAGCTATTGAGAAATATTAGTACTCAGATTTTAAAATTAGTATCCCAAGATTACTGTACTCTTAAGAGGGAAAGAGGTGAATATTCCCTGCAAGTTTTGCCCTAGCCACTATACTTTTGAACACAGACAGCAGCCCTGGAAGATATTATTTCTTTTTTTTTTTTTTTGAAGATATTATTTCTAATATAAAGAGAAAGGAAACTGGAGACTTAGAATATGTCTACACACACAAATTTGCAAATACATGACATCTAGGAAACCCAGGTTCTAAGTCCAAAGTTCATATTTTCCCTATATTAATACTCTATAGATATAAATAAATAATTTTTCCTCTATTAAACAAATTCAGTAGCATTATTAACTATTCAATGAAGGACCCCATTCTTAAGGCAGTAAAATAAAAATACAGAAATCTAATCATTTCCAGATAATCATTACATTTTATAGTGTTGTATCATTTCTAAGGTTAAGGAAAATCTTTTCAAATAATTCTTAGTATCTTTAAATAGTTCTTTATAATTTACCTTCACATACATTAATTTTTTAAAATATTTCTAAGTCATGCAAAATAAATTTGGTTCTTTTCATGTTAGGGAGAAATTGGAATTCCAGGAAGGTGCAATGAAATACCCATCATAACTGCTAGTAGCAGAGCTGGAATTTGGAAACTAAGTGTTCTTACTCCCATTTTAATGCAGATACCACCGATTCACACTTCCCTCTAATTTGGTGCTCAAGTGCACTGTATGAAATGACCAGGTGAACACTTGCCATGAGTCTGCAATGACAGTAATTTTTTATTTGCATGAGAAAGGGCTCATTTACTCTGCCTTCGGAAGTTTTCTGTCTTTCCCTAGTTAACCACAAAGTTACATCTTTTCTAATATGATGAGAACTTTCAAGAGCTATTTTCTTAAAAATATACAGTATTATGAATAATCACCATCCTGTACTTTATATCCCCATAATTTTATTATTTTATAAGTAGAAGTCTGTTAACCATCTTTGCCCATTGTCTCTGAGTTCGGTTTTGGGTTTGTTTTTTTTTCTCTAAGATTCCACATGCCAGATCACACAGTATTTGTCTTTCTCTCCCTGACTTATTTCATTAGCCCTCAAGAGTACCTTGTGTTAGAGCTGCTTCCATTTTGTACTTGATTTTTTTTTTTGTTTTTTTTTTTTAAAGATTTATTTATTTATTTATTTATTTATACAAGCACTGGGTACAGTCAGAAGCACAGGAGGGTGACAATTCACCAGAGCAAGAGCAGAGAACAGAACAGGCAGACTGACGAAATACACTGCTGAGGGGAGCAGCGGGTGCGGCAGGAGAGGTCTGCATGCCATGTGGGACCCTCGCCAGTGGCGGGGGATCGAACTGGCGCTGCAGAGGCTGCAGGCAGCTTCGCAGCCCAGCGCTCAACCGCTGCGCCACCAGGGGAGGCCCTGCTTCCATTTTGACAATAGCAAAGACCTAAAAAAATTGTGGAAGAGAATTTGTTTGAATACTGTGATTATTAGGGCTAACTCCATTAGAAAAAATAAAGCATACATCACAGTAGTTCTAAAACTTCACTGCACATTAGGCCCATCTGGAGAGATATTTTAAATTCTTGAAACCCACCCAGATTGTATCTCATACCAAATAAATCAGGTCAGAGAGAAGCAGCCAGATAGTATTTTTTAGAGATGTCCTGATAATTCCAATGTGCCTGAAAGTACAGGAGCCAATGGGGATGTTGTTTCTCAGTGCCCAAGGGAATATAGTTTTTCTCATTTGAATTTCTCTTCAGTTATCACATTAAACCTATTAGTACCCTAGATTGTGACTTAAGCTTTAGTAATTCAATTGTCGTGGTCTAGTACCCCAGGTGAATTTCCATGTATCAACTACTGAAGAGTGCAGAGGCTAAAGGCAGACGTCCTACATTTATTTAAGTTGCCTTTTCCTTTAAATGATGAAATGTATAGAAGCAAAAAAAAAAATTAATAAACATTTATTTAATGCCTACTACTTCACATATGGTATAGTCTTAGCCCCAAAACTCTGAGAAATGGTTTGGTTCTTTAAGTGGGCTAGAACTGTGCTATCAGCAATACTGGGAAGCAAAGATAAAAGACAGATGAAGTTAATTTCCAGTTATTTTTTGATGTCCAATTACCAGGCAATTTATAGGCATCTTTCATGGGATTATGTTTACTATGAACACACCAGTAACTTCCAAGTTTACAGTTCCATTCCAAATGCCTGACATCCCAAATTAAACACACCCAAAATTGATCTCATCTGCCTCCACCCACAAACCAGCTCCACTTGTAACTTTCCTCATCTCAGTTGATGGCAATTCTAATCCCTTTCAATTACTCATGCAAATAATCTTGTAATAACCCACATCCAAACTCTCAGGAAATCCACTGAGCTCTGCTTTCAAACGATACCCTTAATTCAACCTCTTCTCCCTATCTTTACTGATTTCATTCTAGTCTGACCCTCCATTAATCTTGCCTGGATTACTCTAATACACTCGTCAAGTTTCTATTTCTGCCCTTACCTTCCTTTGATAAATTATTAACACAGGAGTCCAACTGATTCTTTTAAATCACGATTAGGTCATATCACTACTCTGCTGCATACTATACAATGGTAACCATTCGTAGGGTAAGGAAAAAGTATCAGGCTTTTATGCCCTCCCACCATTAGGATAGATGAGGGAACCCTGTGGTTCTGAATGCATGCCTGATGGCGGGCACCTGGAGTGGGTACACCTGGGCTGAGAGACTGACTTTATAAGGGCGGCGTCATGGGGACACCAGCAGAAGCCAAGAACGAACGGAAGCCAAGAGAAGAAGAAGAGAAGCAGAGAGAATACCAGAGAGTCCAGACAGAGTGAGGATTTGCTAGGGGCTGGGAGGACTGCCAGCCTCCTGGCCCCCCAGCACCCCTGCCTGCCATATGCCTGGTAAATCTAAATGAAAGACCTGCAAAAGCCACTGAGGACTCTGACTCCTCCTTTACCTAGTCTGCTGGATCAGAAAACCTGCTCTGTGTCCATTCCTGCCCCTACACCATTTATTCAAGAATAAGTCCCAAAGCCCTTTCCTGGATCTATTATGTGTCCACTCTCATACCTGTCTAATACTCTATCCCCTACTTACTTCCCTCAAGTCACACTGGTCACTGGTAGGCACACTCTAATCTTGAGGCTTTTCGCACTGGCTATTCCTTTCTCCTGAGGGTTCTTCAGCCAGCTATCCTCTTGACTAAACTCCCTTCTCCCTTTGAAGTCTTTCTTTAAAGGTCACTTCCCCTAAGAAGCCTACCCTGAACTCCCTATTTCAAACTGCAGTCTGATTGATTACCCCTCCTACCCCTTTTTCCAATGTCCCATTGTTTTTATACCCCTTATCTTTTCCCAACATATCACTTATTATGCTTATTGTCTTTTTCCTCTATGAAAATGTAAGCTCTGTGAAGACAGAGAACATATTTTACCCACTGATATATCCTGAATGCCTCAAACAGTGCTTGCCACAGAGTAGGTGCTCTGTAAACATTTGCTGAGTGACTAAACAAACTCAGCTTACATTGTTTTCTCATTCTTTTATTCATATAGCATGGTCACATAATATTATTAAAACATTAGAATAAAAATACATTTTCTGAAAATAATGTAAAGATACTTGAGATTTTTATCTTATTTCAACATTAAATCTATAAAGACAAGGATATGAACTAAACCACCTCTGACTTTGTAACCTTACTTTCCCCAAGACATTTATTGGTTAAGTTGGTTTAATTAAAACTGTTGGTACTTACATTAGAATATAAAATATTTCTAATTTACCATATTATAATTTTTACTAAGTGCCATTAATATTCAAAAGATTCTGCGTTATATTTATTCTGTGGGGTAATTTAGTTGCTTTTTTAAATTTAATTTTTTTGATCAAATACTTTCCAATTATATCTAAGGCTAAGAAAAAATATTGCTGTAATTAACAACATACTAAGTTTTAGTACACATAGGCCCCTATGAGTTCCTTTTAGTTCTATTGTCTATGTAACTATGGTGACTGCTTTTGTTTTTATTGGTTAATATTTCACATTTCTAAGATTTCTTGTCTGGTAATCTGTTCTTCCCATTAGTTCTTACTGAACTTCTCTATCTAGAAATCCATAAATAGAAAAGGGTGAGTTCCTAGCAGAGATGATCACATACTATCACAAAGTATGATGACTTTCCATTTTTTCTGGGAAGTGAGATGTAATACTGCTTCAAATGGTTTTGTGAGAGCAACATATAATGTAAGTACCTAGATGTGTCTGGCACATGATAAATTCTCAATCAATAATAATAATTATTATTGTTTAAGCCAAATCATCAGTCTTACTTTTCTCTCCTTAAGGTAAGAGAATAAAAGGGTACAGGGCACACTGTAAGCATCCTCAAGAAAAAGCCTAAGTTCAGGGATCATTATGTGAATTTTGTTTGCTACCAAAGAAGTATTTGATCTATGATTATTATACATTATCATATACAAAGTCATAAAGCCTATGAATGGATATAACCATGACCTTATAAACAAGTTTTCTTGGAAAAGAAAACTGACATATATTTTTATAACTTCATATTACAGAATTGTCTGTTTCACTTCAACTCAGAAGCACAAACATTACTGCATAACTTAAAGGAAAGAACTCTGGGTTCTTGTGGTTTAGCATATTGGTTTAAAAACACATTTTCTCTGAAAATATTCAAATTCTTCCCAGTCTGATTTTACCACTGACTATTCAGGTTACCACTTGAAAAATATAAGGCCAACCTCTGTTTTTCATGGTTGTAAGAATGAAAAATAGAATTTTTCAGAAGAAATTCTAAGGAAG